TTCCGAAGTCTATGACAACAATTGTTTGGCATTGACGGCCGCGAATTTCGTGCCAATAAGCTGCCTCGACTTGTTCGATTATGTTATCAACTCAATTTCTTATTTATTTTCACATTTTCACTTCGCGGTCCTTCTCTGTTCTTTTCCCGTTCTTTACACATGTAGGTCATTTCATTGTTATATACATTTGATATCATCATTTATCACATACTTCCATGACACTCTTGTCTGTCCGCTACAACTGCCAAGAATTAACGCGATTGGCGAAGCGTAGTGACAGCGGGCCAATAGAGCAGGATCCTTGCTATAATGCTGTTTGCGCGCCAATTTTCGTACGTGCGTTAACCGAGCCGAATAGTTTGGCCGAATATTCGGCTATTCGGCCACGCTTCTGGCCGAATATACTATTCGTTACAACACTAATCTTTATCTTGACGGCCGGATAGCCGAGTAGTAAGGATGGCAGTCTACCGCTTTGGAGACCGGGAATTGAATCCAGACGGGTCAGAAAAACTTCAGGAACTTTTCGGGAGGCCGTCTCATTGTGGGCCTGGCCGAACCAGTAAAGGTTTTCTAAAAAGACCTTTTAATGCAGTCGAGGTGAAAAGAGTTAGAAGAATGCTCGGCATATAGTAATATAGTCGACCCCCTATAACACTGTTGATAATTTTGTTTTATATGAATTCTATGTTGTACGAGTCACTTAGATTTTACAAATACGTGTGCCGTTCACAGCCCGGCACGCGTATTTGTAAAATCTAAGTGACTCGTACAACATGGAATTCATATAAAACAAAATTATCAACAGTGTTATAGGGGGTCGACTATATTACTATATGCCGAGCATTCTTCTAACTCTTTTCACCTCGACTGCATTAAAAGGTCTTTTTAGAAAACCTTTACTGGTTCGGCCAGGCCCACAATGAGACGGCCTCCCGAAAAGTTCCTGAAGTTTTTCTGACCCGTCTGGATTCAATTCCCGGTCTCCAAAGCGGTAGACTGCCATCCTTACTACTCGGCTATCCGGCCGTCAAGATAAAGATTAGTGTTGTAACGAATAGTATATTCGGCCAGAAGCGTGGCCGAATAGCCGAATATTCGGCCAAACTATTCGGCTCGGTTAACGCACGTACGAAAATTGGCGCGCAAACAGCATTATGGCAAGGATCCTGCTCTATTGGCCCGCTGTCACTACGCTTCGCCAATCGCGTTAATTCTTGGCAGTTGTAGCGGACAGACAAGAGTGTCATGGAAGTATGTGATAAATGATGATATCAAATGTATATAACAATGAAATGACCTACATGTGTAAAGAACGGGAAAAGAACAGAGAAGGACCGCGAAGTGAAAATGTGAAAATAAATAAGAAATTGAGTTGATAACATAATCGAACAAGTCGAGGCAGCTTATTGGCACGAAATTCGCGGCCGTCAATGCTAAATAATTGTTGTCATAGACTTCGGAAAGCTAAATGCTTGTAATGAAAGTCACTTAGCGTGCACGGGCGAAAGCCTGGGACCGTTCAGGCTATCAAGCTGTCTCGAATCTGTGAAATCATAACTGTGACTTATATCGACGTCCTATCCGTCTCTTTTCTCCGTTATCACCAGGCTGTCACGTAATTGTAAAATGGGAACTCTACGACGGAAAAGTGACGAATCGAAAGTATCGTGAGCGCGTATTATGATGTATGCACAGGCATACGTGGATAGAGCGATAGAGGAAAGAGAAAGGGAAGAGCAAAGACGAGCGCTTAAAAAGAAGGATAGGCAGGGTCAGACCCTCAGCTGTGCGAGGATTCTCCAACGATAGACGTGTACGTGTACTGATCTTTGTAATTATAAATTGTGAATACATGTGACTAATATTATTTTCATTTTTATTTTGCGCATGTTACAAGTTATAAATAAATATAAACAAACAACACTAACTCGATAACATTAAATCTAAATACCAGAATGATTAATTTACTGTGTTCTTGTTATTTATTACTCCTGCTTTTAGGTATTCGGTATTCGGCCGAATAGTGAAAAATAGGCCGAATAGGCCGAATACCGAATAGTAACCGAATATTTGTTACATCACTAATAAAGATATTTTACCACTCTGGGAAACCGAGTTCAATCTGAGTGGAATACAAATGAATACAGTATATCTTAATGGATACTAATTCCATTTAGACATTTTCAAAATGCCCGGAAGGTCGAGCGGTTAGGGTGACAACCTACCACTCTATGGAAATTCGAATGGGTGGTTTGTCCGAACATGCCGAACCCTGTCTCTCCCCCTGGCAGCCCCATTATGGGCCTGGCAGAACCCTTCAAGGTCTTGCTAGAAAAACAACCTTATAGTGTCTACACGGCGGAAATTATTGGAATAAAGGATTAAGTTCGTAGGTGTCCCCAATATCACAATACTACAATTTTTCAGCATTAACTGAACATTCTTAACAATCTTAATATTATGAAATCATTTAAATTTAATAAATAGTAAAAGAACATTTATAACAAAATATTTAAAATAAATGTAATAAAATTTCATTCTAATATTACACACTTAAGCAAAATTATTTGCGGTAATTTTTATCTGTTATTCAAAATAAATCAGCAAAGAAAGAGATAAAATAATTTCTCTGTTAAACAAGAGATTAAAATGTATGTTGAATTTCTTACATGCTTCAGAAGCTTCATAGAAAAGTATTCAAATATTTTTATAAAGCTTCTGAAGCATAAAAATTTGTATTTAAATAAAGACAAAGTGGTTTATTTAATAAAAAGATTGAAATGATTTTGAAGAAATAACAATTTATTGGTTTAAAAATTAAGTAATGACCTGCATCGGTTTAATTGTTTTTATTAATTTTATGAGATTTATATTACTTTTTTTTTATTAAAAATAATTATATTACTTTAAAATATATAAAAACAATATATTATTTTGTTAATTCCTGATGTATTACTTATTATAGTGATTAAGTTTATTCAAGTAGGTTACAAATAATCTAATCATAATTAAATAATATAAAGAAATGAATTTTAATATCTTTTCAATTGCAGTGATAAGAGCTGAAGTTTGAACAGTAATTATTTACATACGGTATATTTGAATATTTCATTAAAATATGAAACAAATTGAATTGAAGGTTTTACAAAATAATAGTTAACTAGATCCAATGAGTTAAGCTTATTACACTCTCAGCGAATTTAATTAATTAACTCGTTATTCATCTAATATGCATTTCGGTCGATCTCCTTTTCAATTGGATTTTACGAATCATTATAAACCAAAAATTAGAGCTTCTGATAACAATCATTAAATGTAATTACAAGTTGACGTATTCTTGCTGTTTGTGGGCCAAAATTTTATATAAATTTATATATTCCGCTTTTACTCTTTTCGCCCAGAGGGCCTTTTCCGTGCCCATTATCAGTTCCCATATAATGTACTGTACTGTTCATAGTCCAAGCATGGTAAACCAAAATAGGCTTTTTCTTTTTACTCTTTTCCTCTTTTTATCAAGTCCATCTTGGTTTCGGCTACTATCACATTGGGAAACCGGGTGGTAAGGATTGGGGCTCAATATATCAAGAAAGGGACCATTCTCGAAAATTTCCTGGAATTTTTTGACCCGTCCGGAAGCTGTAGGCTGGCACCTTAATGGCTCGCCCATCATCCAAATAGGCTTGCATATACTTTTTTAAAAAATCTGAACATAACATAGAAAATTTTTTAGTTCCATTTTACTTATTGTGTAAATAAAATTTACACAATAAGTAAAATTTTAAAGAAACATTAGTTTTATTTAAAAATCGTTCACATATCCAAAGAAATTCTCTTGCTTGTCGCATGTTCACCACACCAGAAATTGTGTTTATTATATTTTGTTAAAATATTAAACGGTAAGTTAATTAAGCGTTGAAACTATGAATATGATAATTATGATTAGAATTTCCATGCAGACGAGTATGTAATGTGTCCCAAGAGTCACGGTAGGATGTCCAAAAATTATGTTAATGGAATGAAACATGAAAACACATGAAAATGAAAGACAAACTCACCAAATTTTCCATCTCGAGGCTAATGCACTCGATTGGCCCATTTTCACTCCTAGTTTTCAGTAGTTTTACACTGGTGGATTCGTTACGGAATTTCTTGATGAGACAGTTCTATGACGCTAGGATGAATGAATGAAAGCAATGGTATCCATACTCTCTGGATGTGACACTTTCTGGGTTTTTATTTCTGGAGTATATGAAGCCAACTGTCTACTGTATTCTTATTCATAACATTCAACATCTGAAACGGCAAATCAGAGAAGTTATTCACTTCTGATTTTCTTGATCGCTGGAAGTGGAACACCACTTAGATGTTTATAGAGCCACTAATGGAACACACATGGAACTTTATTACTTAAACATGTGGAAAAACTATTTTAGTCGTTCTTTAATTTATGTTTGATGTATGTACTACGTTTCGTTTAATAAGATATAATCTTTTAGAACTCCATCATGTCTTCTGGGAAACACTGTAGAGGAGAAGGTAGTATTATGGAACCCCAATTACATTATTGTGAATTGTAAACAAGATATCATAACTACACTCACATTTTTTGTGCGAAAAGTACTGGTATCTATTAAACTAAATGTTCCTAATTGGATTTTTCGTTAGTGTTACTATAAGTATGGTTTTTGAAGGCTTCTGTAAAAAAAGTCAGAAAGTAGGCTTAGGGAAAACCGGGTGGTAATATGGAACCTTACTGTATGTTTTCAAAAAATGCTTTAATGTATCCAAAAACAAATAGGAAAGTACAAAGAATGTTCACAAATTGCTCCGGACAAATGTTTGCTTGCAAAGAGAGATTTCGGAGGAGTTGGGTTCCATATTAAAAGCACCAATGGCATCGCCATCTTCAAGTAACTTATGTCTGTCAAGACCGAACTTTAAAAAACGTGAACATCACACAGATTAATATCTACCCCTAAGTCTCTGGGACTGAATACATGCACCAGTGAATCTACAACTACACGATTTATATTTTAAAAATAATTAAATTCACTTAGCATTCAAAACTTTCGAACTTTGAAAAACACAAATATGCTGATTCACTACGGACAACCGTTTAATTAACTGAAGTGAAACGGGTTTTTCCCTTGCTATGAATGTCTGCCTAGTACAGTTCAGCCACAATCCACTACAGTTCGCCTTTATTGTCAGTTTGAAATGGAGGGGTTCCACAATACCTGCAGGGTTCCATAATACCACCTTTTCCTCTGTAGTATATAGTGTTCTTTATGTTTATCTTGAGACCTAAAATCATCATCTTTTCACTTTTGTGTATATTTTAAATATTTTCTATATTTTGACGTTTTTTTATGTAGGGTGAGAAATTTAACCTAAAAAAGTGAAATATCTCCGAAACAAAGCCTTACAGAGAAAAATATTTAAAATCAATTCTGTTTGGTTGAAGGCGGAAGGGTACCAAGCTTATTTATTTTTAATTTGAACACGTTTTCAAAGTTACATCAAGGTCAACTTGTTGTTTTCAAATGAAAACCTATACCTTTTGTAGAGGCAGCTGAATCTACGTGAAATAACGAATAACTTTTGCCTGAAAGATTTTGAAAACGTGTCTAAATAAAATATAAATAAACCTGTTATCCTTCCGCCTTCAATACAAATACATTTTATTTTATAAATTTTCTTCCGCAACACTTTGTTTTGGCGATATTTCAATTTTCAGGTTAAATGCCTCCTTCACCCTGTATATTCCGAAACATCTTTTATAACTTTGAAAAGCAGTTTTAATTAATGTTCTGACACGCAATTCAATTACTTTTGGTTTCGATTTTGTTTAAGAGTTCATTTTATTTTGACATTTTTCATAACCTCTGTGAGCACCAACAGGGCCTTTTTAGCATGACTACTATGGATTCTGCCAGGCCCAATGCAGTTGCCGGGTGATGAGGGACGGGACGCAACATCTCCGGACGAATTCCCGAAAAATTCCTGGCGTTTTTTCGACCCATTCGGATTCGATCCCGGGTCCCAGAGCAGTAGGCTGCCATCTTAACTGCTCGGCCATCCAACCGCTTATTTCGGCATGAATAGTGTTTTGAAAAATTCGACATAGCGAGAAAAAGAAAGTTAGATGCGACATTGACTAATTATAATTTTTAAAAACGATTCAAACCTGTGATTTTTATAATAAAATAATAAATAAACTGATAAATGATAAATTATATCTTACATTCCAACAGTAAAAAATTGAGGAGGGAAAAAAATATATTAAAACATTACGGCAAATATTAAATATTTTTCAGTATTAATGTAAACTATTAATAATTGTTTAATCTTATTACGAAATTTATTTAATAAAGTATTTTTTTAAAAATTCATTGTTTTTATATAGAAATAACGTTTAAAAAAATACGTCAGACACAATTAAATATTTTATAAATTCCTAAATATTAAATAAAACTCCAGGGGGCGCCCTGATCTCGGGAAAAATTTTTTATCTTCTGGCCGAGTAGGTATCGTAAGAAAGAATTATGCTTTTAAAAATATTTAATAGGAAAAATCAACTCGGTGAACGCCGATCGTTAAACATGACATAAGTCTACAGATACGGACATTAATGATTTATCAATATTTTTAATATTTAATTAATTAAACGTGTCGACAGTGGTGAGAAACAGACGACCCGATGGATATCGTCCAGAAGATACTGATCTACCTGACTTTTATCATTTGTTTGGGTTGCTTGGCACTTCTCTCGGTGTCTTTAGCGACCGAAGAATGGTTGAAATCAAAGCCTATAATAGAAAGAGATGTAATTAATCGCACCAACGTGAGAAAGTTTGAAGGAGAAGTTCATTTTGGCCTTTTCTCTGGGAAGAAGAACTTAAATTTCGGCTTTGGTGACAGATTGTCAAATATAATAAGTAAGTTTAATGGGCATACAATTTGTAAAACTGATTTTTTGAATTTAAATGAACATTAATAATAATAATAATTAATATAATGGAATTAAACTGATTGTTTTTTATTATTGAATTACCATTGATCTTTCTGTTCTAGCTGGGTTACTTGCGACTCTGTCCTGCTCCGCTGATTGATCTTTTTTCTTTGAATTTAAACTGGATTCTTTTATTGCCTGTATTGAAATGTCCGAATAATGGACGAATTTTTCTTATCTCTTTCGAAAATTAACTGGTATTTACATTCCGTTGGTAATTGCTTCTTGGGTAATGAGACGAATACTCGAAAATTGCATTAACTTTACTGGAAGCCGTAAATGTAGGCCGATAATATATTTGCTGCTTCTAGAAAAAGGTACTTAAAACCTTTAATTGTAAAAAAAGTTTTAAGTTTTGGACATTCTTTCGAAAGGGCACGCCCTTTTGTAATGACGTTGTTATAAGTTTGTATTTTAGATTTTATACGTTACTTTACCGGTAACGTTTAAAGTCCTAAAATATAAACTTTATAGGTATGTTAAATGGATTGTGTCATAGTAAAATGGCAATTTTTTTTTGTGGTGTCAATTGAAAAGGAGTTGTGCTTGTTTAAATGCACTAACATAGTTATAAAGGAAATAGATAATATAAAACATGGTTTCTTAACAGCTAAATTATTGTGAGGAAGTTTTGGTAAATATCGGAATTTTAGAAAAGTCCAATTTTTAAAAAATTAACAAAAATTAGTATTTAAAGTGAATTATAACTTGAATGGTTAAAAGCTATGGATAAATGCTTTATTTGATGGTAAAAATATTTAGTATTAATAAAATAATAACTGTACTAAAATATTATTAATGTAAACTATTTTTTTATGTTAATAAATAATGAAAAACAGCTGCAAATAAATTCAATATACTATTGTATTAATTTGGTACTGTTAAAATAATTTCAGATTAGGATAAAGCATTCATTTTTAACTAATTAATTTGCTATATCAATATGTCATTCAAAGCTGGAACTAAACAATAATTAATTTCACACCTTCCTTATGTCTTCTAGCAATACTTCATTTTTAATAAAGTATTGCTGGAAGACATAAGGAAGGTGTGAAATTAATTTTTGCTCTATCATTAAAATTCTGATATTTCAATGAATATTTCAAGCAATATGAAGTATTCTTTGCAAATAATTTGTTTCAAATATTTGAATGTTTTGTCTTCATTATTTTTGTATCATTTATACATAAAATTAGTTTAGCATCACATTTTCACTTATGTGCATGCATCAATGCTTAAATAAATAGTAAAAATTTCTTTTGACCTTAGTGTTCATTTAAGCATTAATATGTCAAATATACTATTTGAAAATTTTTCAAATGATAAGATAGGCTTACATGATGAAAGGTCTTTAAACATTTCATTTATTAATTGATCAACTATGAAAAATCACTGTTACAATAACTAACTTTACAATCTGGCTTATTATTTCTGTGAACAAAAAGGTAATGTTGAAATTATAGGATGTTTAAGAAATAGAGTTAATAGTAGAGAAAATCAAAACAATATACAAATGCATGCTAAAGAGATTTTAGAGATAGATAATGAATACAGCAGGAAGGATGCCATTTTAAAAAGAAATAGAACAGTATTCTAGATATCCAGTAGTAGTAATAAAAGGGAAAATGTGCAACATAAAATGAAAGTCATTCAATCTTTAGGTTAAATGGAAATAAAATATCTGTAGTTTCTATAGTTGGCTGTAATTAGGAAATAGCATGTAGAAGAGATAACTTGGATAAATAATGAATCCAATTTTAATATAGTGTAGGTAAAGAATATAATACTGAATTAGCCAAGGACAGAATTGCATAGCATTCTTATATTCAAATATTTGACGATAATGCTTCACATATCTGTATTTAGTGAGATTTGTTGTTTTTCCACTCTCTAACTCACTTTATGATGAAGCAAATAAATGATTATAAAAAAAATTTAATTTTTAGTATCATAATTTGAAGTCTTTTACTCCTGAAATTTCCTATTTGCTAAAAATAATAGTCATTAATTTTAAGATGAAAAATTGTTAAATTAACTTTCAGATAAAGATATAACAGCAATTTTAAAAAAATCTGGATTTGAAAATGCTTACAAGAGAAATCCTTAAATTGAGAAATTTTAGTGTAGTGTTTTTTATTTGTTAACTCCAAACAGTTTTAATATGTAGTTATTTTCAAATGTTTTTAACCTTCTGCTGACAATCAAACCATCTGTTTTCATGCTGCACGTAGCATGAAAGTATCTCAATCATTCATAGAAGAATTAAAATAAAATTTCAGTTGAATAATAGGTCTATTGAAAATTTTACTGTTTTTATCTGTTCCTTTTAAAATGGATTTCTGGATCCAAGAATTCTTGAGATTGCATTTTTCATAACCTCTATGATCCTGGTAAACAGTTTTTATAATTATTTTTTGAAAAAGGAATTGTAATTTGTTTATGTGATGACTATATGAAAGGAATACAGTATTATGAATAGAATGTAAAATTGTGTTTTGTGCAATAAATAAACCAACAACTTTCATCCAGAAGTCTACAGTAAATATTTTAAACTATTTGATTCAAGGATAAATTTTCCATATGTCCAGAATCAACAGTCCTTTTTCAAAGAAACTATATAAACAAATAAAAATGACAATGACAAATAAATAATAAAATAAAATAACTAAAAATGACAAAGACAATGAGTGCATTGCCTGGTAACAGAAGACAGCTTAATGTTAGCAAAATCCATTTAAAACATTGATTTATAATCTAATCTAAAAATCTAATATTTATGTGTGATTTTCAACACTTTCTGCTTAATTTAATTTTAGTTTTAAGCTTTTTTAAAAAAATTATACCTGTTGATAGCTAAATCTTCTTTTTTAGCAACATAACCTTGAAATTTTCCTATCAGATATTCGTTTATTTGCATTAATGTCTTGCCTTTTTTATGATGTAAAGCCCAAACCCATACATTCATCTGATTCATTTCTTTTCTGATATTCATTAACTTTCTCCATTATAATGTATTTGGACTTAAGGTATCTAATAATACTAGCAGAAGCATTCTTTTATGTTTGGACAATTTAAGCTCTTTTCCAGCCTACTAATTTCATATTAATTAAAAGGTTTGCTAATACAGTGGTCAGTTGACTCTTGCTAAATCTTTGTTTTCTTATAATCTTTTATTTAGGCCTTTACTTGTGCTTTTGATATACATATAGAAATTTCTTTATTTGTTTGACACCCTTATTTTAGACTTTTGAAGGAAATACATTAGTTTTATTTGTAATTTTTGAAGTGGAAGAAACATTAAATATATATGAATGAAATGTTGAAACATTTCAAAGATTCTTGTAGTTTAATTTAAAACATTAAATTTTGGAGAATATTAATACATGTTCTGACAAAACAGCTTCCTCTCTAAAAAATTTAAGCATTAAATCTTTGAACAATTTGCAACTTTAGAAGTTTTAATTCATTGAAATATCATTTTACTATAATAAATCTGACACTCATAAAAGTTTAGTTTGTACTTAGTTCTTCCTACCAGTAAAATATCGGTTTACCTTACATAATATCATATTTAGTTGCATTTTCTTAATTTAGATATTTTCATGATTAAAAATTAAAATGAAACTTAAGGTCTTCTAGAAAGCTCAACAATAAGGTAGAATGCTTTTATAGTTGAAAGAGTTTTTTGAGAAAACAGTTCTATTTATCTGTCAATTATTTTATTATTTTTGTAATATAACTTAGAATTTGTCTGGTCTGAAATGATGTATAAATTAAATTTATTATTATGCTGGTTTTAGGTAATTTATTATTTTTAGCCTGTATTTTAATTATTAATNGTTTAGTCAAAAATTTTAAATTACTTTTTAATTGCAAATACTTAAAATTGCAAAAGTAAAATAAGCATTATAGAAATAAATGAATCATTATTGAAAACATTTATAATTAATGCATTCAAGATATGATTTACCTTACAACACTCAATTATACTTAATCCATTAATAAAACTAATTAATTAATTTTCTTTTTTTTCATTGGTTATCTTTTAAATTTTGCATGTTATTTATCTCTATCTTAGTTAAATGTTTTCCATCAAAAAATGCATGCAGCTTTGTTGAAAAATCTAATAGAAATCAATTTTCAAGAAGTTCATCTGACCTTAAGTTTGAAAATTTGAATAATACAGACATAAAGGGAAATAACAACACAGGTTTTTTTTATAGATTAATTTTTTTAAATATAAGTTTATATCACGAGAATTTTATGAGATACGAAAACCAACAGAATTCTTTTTGTTTACTTAAGTTAAGACGATTCTAAAAGAAGACCCTCCAATGATCATATATGGACTCTGGCTTTTCACCGTCCTTTCTGTAGCATTAAGTATGCTGTTTGGATTAGTTGGAGCAATTTTTGCTGTAATTAATAGTGTTACAACACCTGTTGAATTAATTACTGGAATACTTGGTTTATATCTGTGGAACGGAATGGGTGCACTCTTTTCGCTTGGAGCCGTTATTAGTTGGATTTTGCAGTTTTATTTGAAACTTAATAAAAATGTCATGACCAAAGAAGAATTGAAATTGAANAGTATTCTTTTTAATGAAATAAATCTCTTACAACTATAAAATCAACAAATAAGAAATATTAAATAAGTTATATAAAAACTTAAATAATAAAGTCTCAGAAGATTCTAAATAAAAAAAAAAATTAGTTTAGTGTTAACATTAAAACATGACTTGCACTCATTCATCATGTTATTTTAATAAGTTTAAAAAACTAAAATTGTTATTCTTTCCTAAATATTCATTTTTGCACTAGCCCAATGGTTCCCAATTAGTAGTACACGTACCCCTGGGGTACGCAAAATTGCACAAAGGGGTACATGCAACAATCTAAAATCGGTCGATTTAAAATTTAAATGCCATGAGATGAAGAAATCAAAAAAATAATGGGTGGATCATCAAAAATTCGGCAATTTACAACACGATGTCGAATGCACAAATTTGTTTATTTATAACTAAAAATATTCTCGAAATTTCATCAAAAAATGCATTTGTGACAATACCTAAATAAAATTCTTACGTAAGAAACAAAAATTGTACAATTAACACAATTTGTTAATTGTACAATTATCATTACTATCATGTCAGCAAAGTGGCAATAAAACATTTACTACATTTTGCACAATATACCTCTGCGAGAGCGGATTTTCGGCCATGACAAACATGAAAACTAAACATTGCCACCGACTTCGACTCTAAGATGACTCGAGACTGAAGCTGACCAAAAAAGCAACCAGATTTTACAAAGTTGTGCAAAGAAAATCGTGCACATTTGTCACATTAAAATTAAATAACCTTATGTTATTTTCATTATTATTAGAATTGTATTTTAAAGGTAATAAATGTAAAAAGAAAACTTATTCTATTTATCACTAGCTGTCTACTCACAGCTTTGCCCGCATTATATCAAATTTTCTTGTGGGAGTAAGATATTTTCTCACAGTAAAATGTAGCCTATGTCCATCTCCAACATGTAAGCTATCTCTGAGCCAAATTTTATTAAAACCTGTTCAGCGATTTAGACGTGAAAAGGTAACAGACAGACAGAATTACCTTCGAATTTATAATAATAATATGGTTTAATATGAATTTCTGCTATAAAGGGTATGCGAGTTTAATTACAAAAAAATCATGTCAATTCCTATAGAAATGTTATTCTAATTTAGTATCTTTTTTCATATTATGGAGTATATTACATAGTATGAATCATAGCTTGATTATTTTTATAAAAATAATAACTTACATATTTATCATACTTTAAGTTAAAATCAAATATAATACAGATCTAATCAGTTTCTTTCAAACTATACAGTAGAATTCAAGCCAAGGTTACAACTATTAGTCACAGTACATGATATCAAGATATCAGAATAGTAAACAACCTTCATTCTCTGCAATACAATGTCGATTATTATTAAACTATTTTATAATAAGAGTCAGGTCATTGTTCCATTAAATTTGAGAGTTTAGAGTTATGTTTTAAACACACAAAATTGTAAAATCTGAGTTCTTTTCATTTGATTACTTAATATTATATTAATATGAAATTAACAAATGGTATTAATACAATATTGGAAAAATTCTATAATGTATAAAAATTAGAAAATATACTTCTTAAATATTTAAATTTAAAATAATTTAGATACTAATAAATTTGCTTAAAGACACTAGCAAACAAGTTATTTTAAATATATCCATTATATAACATACAATGTGTTCCACTGAGTAGGTCTCTAAATGTGTTCCAAATGGAAGTATTTGCTGTTATTTGGCTTGTTTGCATTTGGAATAATATCCTTTAAATAGGATTAATTTACTTACCTGACAATCAAGCTGCCTTTACCACATCTGATTCATGTCACCATCTGAGAATACTATTTGGACTTCTCTGAATTGGCTTCCTGTAATAGTTTTCCTCTTGTAGTCACCCAGATCATGAGTTATATTGTTGACAATTTAAGTACTGAATTATTAGCCAAATATGGAGTTCCTAATCCTTTTGTTGGGCCTGAATTACTTCTTGGTATTTAATACTTTTTCTAGAGCCATTAAAGACTGTATATTTTTTCAAGTATCTAACACATTAGAGGAAAGCTATTAGCTTAAGGCATAGTAAGATATTTTTTCCTAGCTTGTCTTTTGTTTTTCCAAAATGCAAGAAAAAGCTTTGGTTCACACAAAGTGTTTTTCATGCAACCGTGTTTAGTTAATATTACAACTGGTTTTGGTCACTTTCATAAACATCTGTGCCAACTTAAACTTTCCTTCTCCTCCTTTGCTTTCATGACTGCTGAGGAGATTCCTTTGCTTATATGTGAATGTATAATTAATTCTCTATTTTAGCAAATCTGTTCATCTATGTGTTTTTTTAAGCTCATGTAATGTCTGTTACCTTTATAATTCTGACCTCTCTTTAAAAATGTCTTGTAGAGTGCATAATTGGACCTTTAGAAGGTTCTACCATTTAACAATTGTATTCCCATTTGTACAATCTCCATGTAACCTATAATCCTTTTATATAAGTAAGTGAAAACTTGGTCAATTCTTTTTATGATTACTTTAAGTTTTATGATATACAAGATTAAGCCCTGCCATTGTCCATTGAATTGTAATGATGTAAATGGATAAAATTTTGTTACTACTAAATAATGTGTAATGTGCAATAAATATAGGTTTATTCTTTGATACTGCACTCTGTTCAGATGAATTAATTATAGTATCTGTTATGTACTGTGCATATGTACAGTACATGAGTAAAATTTACACAATTTACATATAAGTGTGATATTATAGGCTGTAGACTAAATGAAAAATCTCCAATTCTCTCTTCTCAATGGTCCTTAAAGTTCTCAAGCTGTTCATATTGCGACTATGCCACTTTCTGTTTAACTTATAACAAGAATTTCCCAGAATATGATTCTGTTATAAGTCTGGGACTACCTATATACATATATTATAATGTAACAAAACCCCAAATCATTGGCTAAGTTTAATCCAAAAAATAATCCAACAATTTAGGCTTATTGATCCATAGAGGAGTTCTGTTCCAAGTTATCATTTCTTCCAGAATTATCTAATTTTGAATTTAAACTATTTCTAATGATTAATCTTTATACAAGAATACTGCTCAATGGCCTCTCTTTAAGCCAAATTTGGATATTTTAATTAATTAAAAATTATCTTAAATATAGTTAACAATTAGGTTTGAGTTTGGTTTGTTTTTTTTTTTTTGTTCTTTCTGCCCCATAGGCATCAAAAGGGACTTTTAATCAAGCTCATTATGGGTCCACAATGGTAGTGGCTGGGTGTGAGTGATGGCCCAAGATATTCAGGACAGACCACCCACAAAATATTCTTGAGATTTTTTGCATGTAGATTTTTGCAAATGATTACATTTCTTGCAAGATGTTGTATGCATATAGTTGAATGAAGTATATGCTCATATAAGCTCAAAAACATTGCAAAGCCACAAAAAGTTATACTTTTTATGCAGTCCATAAAGATGTTTGGAAAAATTTGCAGAAACTTGCAAAAATGGACTTTAGCAATAACTCTACATTGATAAAGTAGAAATGCTGTAAGAAAAAAATACCACGTTGAGGTGCCATCATTAGAAAAATGTTGAAAAACACTGTATTAAGGCAAAAGAAAAGGAATGAGTTTATTTGGGGAAAATAAATTATTATACAAATTCTGAAATAATGCAAAGGGCATGGTTCAACTAATTTCATCATCTAAGAACTCAGGTCAATTTTTTAAGTTTGATAAATTCATTCATAAAGCCAACCTCTTGTGGCCAACAGCAGAACAATTTATGGATTGAAAGTAGAGTTTTTTTAGTAGAGTCACATTTTTGTATGTTTTCTATAAGTAAAAATAAATTAGTTTCTACTAGTCATTATCTCCTCTTTCCCAATAATTATAATTTTGATTTGTGACTACAAAATGCAGTTTGTAAATATAAGATAATTGGGAAAAACTCAAAACCTAAAAACAATCCAAACATATCTTGTTTTAATACATTTAAAATTTTTCACAAATCAATGGTGAAAATTCAATCATGTTTAAGTAAAAAAAAATAATAATTAGATGTTAAAATTTAAATTTTATTTATTTTTTCTCTACAGCACTCTTTTCGCTTGGAGCCGTTATTAGTTGGATTTTGCAGTTTTATTTGAAACTTAATAAAAATGTCATGACCAAAGAAGAATTGAAATTGAAATGGAATTCAGATGGCAGATCCTCTTTCGGTTACAGTTTTATATTGGTCATTGTTGCCTTATGTTTGTATGTCATCAATATTATCATTGTTACAATCATTATCAAACAGCCCTGGAAAATAAAGGTGCCAAAGACAAAAATTCAAAAAAATCCCGAGGGAGTCATCATGTTGTATTGAAGAATATTGTTGCCAAAGTTAAGTTGATTTTATAATTGTTTAAACTACGGTAAAGGCATGATTGCATTACTGCTAGTAAGCCAAGTTATATCAGGTTGTTATGTATTTCTCAGTGATTTTTAAAAACAAACAAAAATACATTAATTAGTATTAAATTTGAAAAATTGCAGCTGTCAAAACAGATTTTTTTTTTAATATTAGAAATTTTAAGAAAATCCAAAAAAAGATTTCTCTTGTTATCATAAGAGTCAAAAAATGGTTCAATCCCTCAGTTAAAGAAATCTTAATACCCATTTTAGAACTTCTTTAACTGAAGTTGCTTCAGATTTTTTAAAATTTAAAAAGAAATTAATGCAAATTAACTTTCATCTTTGAATAAAAATTTGCCTATATAATTTAAAAAATTAAACTTTTTAATGAGAACATATTGTACAATTCAAATGATGAATTTTATTCCAAAACAATAATACGTACTTAAATAAAATTGTTGGAAATAATATAGAATACATTCCAATTATATTTTTAATTTTGTTTTAATATAAAACATAATTGTCATAATTTTTTTACACTAATAATAATAATATTTACTGAAATACTATATTTATATATATATATATATTTTTTTATGAAGATATTTTTGTATCCTAAGAAAATTTTCTGATTATGTATTAACTGGGGGATTTCTGTAATATTAAATGAATGAATTACTGTAATAACATTCCATTGAATATCTAATTTTAAATTTTATAAAATTTTTGTAAATTTTGTATGGAAATAAACATTTTTAGTAATATGAGTGAGTATACTTTCAATTATATTGACAACCTAAATCTATTGTAAGAGAGCATGTGTATTTTTCTTTGTAAACTGAAAAAGTTTGGAATTTATGAGAGCTCAAATTCAACGATGATAGAAAAGTAATTGTGGTCGAACACCAACACAATTAAATTGAAGTAATTGCGGATGTTCTCGTCTTGTGTATCCAGCTTAGACGTCAATCCCATGCCCTACCATTTGATCATCATATTGTAGTCTATCTTTACTCTGACACAATGGGGTACAACAAAGGTAGACATTCTATAATCTGTAGACCAATTCTAGTCTGCAAACATGTGTAATCTGGTCTATGGTCATTTTCAAAATATACATACAAATTCAGGACCTTTTATTGTTTTGTTTTTCTTATGATCATAAAATTTAATTGATTTTTTGTAACAATTTTAATAATTTGGCCTATGTCTACCTTATGGACATTTCATTTAGCTAATAGTTTAAAAAGGTATATCCTTCATCTAGCCAAATCCATTGTATTTCACATGTAATCGGTGAAAAAATGCTGCTTTGGGAACTATCGGTTGCAGACCCAATTTCATGAAAAAAAAAACATAAAATAATAGTTTATATGAGTAAAATATGATTTTTTAAGAAGACAATTAACAGAAAATTCATAAAAATTAATCAAACTAGTGCTAGATGAATTGCGATTTCTCATACAGTATTATTAATCAAGAATGACGTTGTAAATCATCAATTCCATGATATTAACAATTTATCGTTAAGGAATTGATTCAAAATATTTCTTCAAACAATTTTACAGCTTATTTAATGAAAAAATAATAATTACTTGTGTATACTGTATTATTATTATTATTAAACTGTATTGTCCAAGAATCAATTGCATTTAACCTTACTTGTTAGGCCATTTAATTTATGCTTTGATGTTCCAAAAGTAGTTCTGATGATCAACATACCATTTTAAATAGGAGTTAACAATGCAACTTTTTTCTTAATTTAATGCCAATGTTTGTATTTCTGACAAATTTTTATCAAGACATAAGCTGGTGCAAATAATCAAGAGCATAGCATATAAAGATCTTGAATATTTTTATTTAAAAAATTTTTGTGTTAATTTGATTTCTTTAGTAAGGAATATTTCCTATTTTACTTATTCTCTGTATATTAATGATACTTCAAAGACATTTTCAACAAATTTTATTAATGTCTTAAAAATTTTCCATTAAATAAATAAGTTTAAATAATCCAACTCTTATATCCTTATAAATATTTATTTTGAAAAGTAAATTTCACAATGAATATTTTTATTATCACAGAATATATTTTATTAAAGATCATTTTCTCTCTTCTATGCCAGTTTACATATATTGTAGATAACCTTTTATTTTTAAAAGTTGGAAATATTTCATGCCATATTCATTTTATCACAGATAAGAAATTACTATTTAAATACAAATAAAAATTTTGCATATGGGTAAGTAATATCTTTGGTGTGAAATATATGTCAATATTGAGATCTGTAAATTAATACAAAAGAAAAAATAAACTTATAACATTACAAATGAGATGTATTGGCAATACCTTTAAAATAATTTCTTTGGTAAAATTCAAATAGATGTAAAAATATTAATAATCATCTTGGGGAGATGAAATTTTATCTATTAATATGTGTTGAACGGTGGTCAAAATTTGAGACCCATTCTTGCACTCGATCTTCTCGTCTCGTGGAATGTCCTTTTTTGTTGGCGAAATCTGCGAAATTCTCTCTCGTGGTCTTTGTGTAACATTGGCTTGTATGTGGGCGGTTCACATAATTCCTAAAGAAAACAAATATCATTAATTTGAAATATTAAATAAAAGTTTGTTGTTTGAATTTAAATGTAAAATTAAATCTTTAAAGAACTATTTGTTTTTGAACTTTTAGTTGTAACAAATGTTTAAAGATAATACAAATTTAGAATTTAAGACCATATTAAATTTTGAATATCAATTATTTTTTGATTAATAATTGTGTTATTACATCAAAACCTATGAAGAAGACACGGTTTGGTCAGCACTTGTCGACAGACACCGATCAAACATTTTCAATATGCCATTTAGTAAAATCACTATAAAGATCTAATTTGCATAAATTTGAGCTTTTGCTATTCTGGATACATTCTGAATAGAAATCACTTGTTTCAATGCAATTTTATTTTTATAATTAAGCAAGAAAATGATCCCTGAAAATCAGAAAATTACTTCCTGCGTATGTATGTATATATATAGTCAGTCGATGACTTTTTTACTTACTTAGTGTCATAGAATCTTTTTATGAAATCAAATTCTTCCTATTATTAAAATGGTTTTTAATGTTTTCAGAAACTATAATTCCAAATAAAATTAAAGAACCAAATTATTAAATTGCATGCTTCTAGCCCTTCTATATATCAATACTATTATTTAATTATTTCATCACTATTATTTTTTAAATCCGTAATGTCTTTTAGGGCTTATTGTGTGCAAACAACAGGAGATGCTGGTATTTATACATAAATAAGAATTGATAAGATTGATGAATGTTGGATTAAAAGAATTGAATTAATCCACTCTGGGCATGAATAAATGTATAAGTTGAAATATTAAATATTATAAATTGATCTATACTGTGAAACTATTAAAATAAAATTCAAACTAACTTACCTTAAAGTTTTCGAAGAAAGCTTTATATCCACCTTTTATAATATACATTTCTGGATAATGGAGATGTGGATAAACTTCATTATTTATTTCTCTATCTTTTTTACGCAAGAAACGACATCTGTAAATATGAAAACAGTTGAAAAAATAAACTGAAATACCATAATCTTTTTTATTGACTTTTTACTCTAGTAATTAAAGATCCATGTATTTATATCATCATCATTATTATACAGTTTTATGAAGAATCATATGAAACAGGAAAATAATTTATAGTTAAAATAGTAGAAGGTTGTTAATCAAACACCTAAGGCACCAGAGTTGTGCTGAATTGCTGAACATTTTTGTATTTTTGCAAAGTTTAATAAGTTAAAGGTGATCTAAGCATGACAGTTTGTTCAGTACGATACAATTTAGATTACTTATAGTTTACTGAATAACACTGCTGGAAGATATCATGAATCTTGGATTATTGGGTGATGGATTAGCAAACTTCACCACATATTTAAAATTTAATGTTAAATGATACAAATTAAGATTCAATTACAAAAATTGAAACATTAAATTAATTTTACAATAAATAGAAATGCCAACTTTCTTCATGTCATCTTGAATAAATTGATTATTATATTAAAATTCAATACTTTTAAAAGTGGAATGGCATGTAGCAGAAGTTAGATGTGAATAGCTAGCTTTGGAACTGAAATTTATGATAGACATAAGTATTTAAAGTTATAATTATTCAATTAACTTTCCAAAATTTGTATTTAGTTCATTTCACTATATGCAAATAACAACAAAATTTATACAGCACTTCTGACTTTAATACTCTACACTTCAGAAATTAATTCTTTAAAGTTGGATTTTGAAAAATGAAGTATGAAAACATATGAATATATTTTTTTAATCAATGCTCTATTTTCTTCCAATATTTACAAATAGTCATATCAAGTTCAATGCAAGCTCAGTAAAGAAAGAAAAAAAAATATAATAAAACTGATATTCTTTTTTATTTTACCTGATGAACTATCTAAACTTTACAAGCACTTTTCAATCAATATAACTGAATTGGATCTCTGCTTAACGAATTAAGTAATCAAGCTAAATATTATTATTTTCTTTTTTTTTAAATTATGTAACTAATATAATGTTAAAATGTATTTGAATTTTAGAATATATTTCTCCCAGCTCTTACTTTATTTCCAAAACTGTTCATAAAATTAAGTTTGACATGGCCATTGCAGAATTTTTGTTATAAATTTCCATGTTGCAGAAATAGTTCTTTAGTTACTGTGTAATATTTAGAAACTTGTTCCCATTTTTAATATTCATTGATTATTTTCCAGTTTTCTTTGAAATGTGTAATCTAAATGATTATCTTAGAGCTACATTGGAATCATCATTAAGAATTATAATTAAACATTTTGCTATAGAAAAAAGATATTTTGATATATCAAAACAATAAAATCTGCCTTATTTCAGTATTGTTAAGTAATGATAAATGTGTAGATTTTGTTTAAAAATTTAAAGAACAAAATATTCCAGTTTTTAATCTGACAGGAAATATGATAGCATCTATTATGCAATTATTTTGAAGAAACAAACATTCAACAACTAGAAAACTCTCTACAATAATTAATCAGATAACAAAAACTTCTCATTTTAAAAATAACTGAATAAATGAAAATTTATTATTAATTATACTTGTATTAATAACAGTGTAATATAATAAAATAATAGGTTGTTAGTGTTTATTAACTATATATCATCATCAAAAAATATAAGCTATTATTGTTGAATTCTATAAAGCAAACAATAAAAACATACAAATCTGGTCCTCTTTCCGATGAAAATTCACAATGGAAAATAAGAATATTACGATCTTGGATTTGAGCATCTGCTTTTTGACCAGATAAGAATTCAGAATATAAACTCTCTTTTGTATAAATATTTCTTGAACCCTGAAATAAAATTATAAAAATTAATTAATATGATTAACTAAAGGATTTTCAATATGTTACAACAGAATGAAGTTATTTTCATTATTGATTTAAAAACTTGAATTAAGATTTATTAAAAATAATATTTCTCATTCAGAAATTAGCATTTTTTTAATTTTATTTTTTTATATTTTGTAATTAATAAAAACATGTATTCAAATCTGTTAATAATATGCTTAATTTTAAATACAAGTAAGAAGACTACTTTAGTAGGATGTTCTTTAAACATTTTAACAAATAAACTAGTTATTAAATACAATCTTTTTTCCAGACTTTTTTTGAAATTTTAAATAATAATTTGGCAGAATTATGTGCTTCCTAAATATTCTGAATTTTATCAAAACTCCCTGATTAATCAAGAGTTGTTTGTTACAGCATAGAATATTGCATTCAATTATATCTGAATTCTACTTATTTAAAAAAAAAGCAACAGATTTTAAGAATATGTAAAATAGTTAAGTAATATTTGGCAAACAACAACTCTTTCCCATTTCAACTTAACATTTACAATTATTTATAAAAGTGTTTAAGAAAAAGCAATTAAAAGAAAGCGAAATCTCCAAAATATTTACATTATAGTCACAGTTAATTTATACATTGCTTTTAGTTTCCTATAATGTCTTCAGATTAAATGTATTTCCAAAATAATTCCAAACAATGACAATGAATTATCTTCTTTTCTTAAAATACTGCATCATCAAAAAATACCAAAAACTTTGGTATTTTTAATAATGAAAACAAAGTTACATTTATATTAAACTGACTTTTAAAAAATTTTCTATATATATTTGGAAAAAAATATTTAATTTATTCATTAGTAAATCATTATATACATTGAGAATTTATTTGGAAGTTATTCTTGAAAAAATAATTATTGCTAATTCTCTGAGGATAATACAATATGCTGAGCAACAAATTTTAAAAATTATTCTGATTATTTAGACTATGAAAATAAGTCAAACGACTTATTTTCATAGTCTAATCATAATAGTTTATAGTCTAATATGAAAATAATCAATTATTTTCATATTAGACTATAAACTATTATGATTATTAATAAATAATAATAATTAACCATAAACATATTAGACTATAAATTGTTATGATTATTTAGAATATGAAAATAAGTCATTTGACTTATTTTCATATTCTAAATAATTATAATAATTTTGAGAAGTTATTCGAAAAATGAAAAAAGAAAAACATAAGCAATAAAATTATTTTATTTTTATCAAATAGATAAAAGTAGAATAAAACCATTGCTATTAGCCACACAACAATTCTGAATAATTTTGGTGCCTGAGGCAAGCCTAAGAACAGTGCCAACGCACTTATATTTCTATAAACATTATGACACCTTTTTAGTATACATTCCAATTTGGCACCTCAGGAAGTAGTCTCTCTGCCTCATCTATTGGCATGGCCTCAATCAACTTATTAACACAATATAAGAAAATACATATTTTCATTATTTTAAATAATGATTATATTTTATTTTTTCATTTTAAATGAAAAAAAAAAAAAATACTTAAAATTTGAAAAGAGATGAAGTTAAACAAGTCTAAGAAAGATCTCATTAATAATGCAGAAAGATCTAATGCCACTTTGCATATCATAAACTTCTGAGATAAAATATTGTGGTAGTAAGCAAGAGAAAATATAATAAATAATAACAATAATTTAATATGTAATAAATAATAAGAAATAGATAAGAAACTAAATAAAATATCAAACAAAAATAAATAACAGATTAGTAAAAAAATCAAATTAACTAATAAATAAATAAATAAATATATATATATATATATATATTCAACTTTTATATGTTTGACATGATTAGTTGCTTTAGGAATGAGGATGATGGGTTTAAAATTGATGATCAAGTAGTACATTCGATCACCTATGCGGACAATATAGTATTAATTGCTCCCATGGCAGCAGAGTTACGCAGGAAAATTCAATTGGTGATGAAATACTTTGAAGGTCTGAAGTTAAAAATTAATCCAAAGAAATCAGAAATCATAATATTTAGAAATGGAGCCTAGCTGCCAAAGAAACATATGTCTTTTTATATGAATAATGAAGAACTGAAGGTAGTCCAAGAAATTAAATTTTTAGGCATCATTCTAACACCAAATTTGTCTTTTATAAAACAATATAATAAAGCCTCAATCAAAGCTAATAGTTTAATAAATAATATGGTGGAAGTATTTATTACGACAAAAATGAAGAATGTCCATATACATTTCTGTCTTTTCAATTCTATTATTATGAACTCAGTTGGTTATGTGGCTCCAATTTGGAGCCTCACTAACTTCCAAAAATTTGATATACAGTAGAGCGTCGTTTATCCGAAAGCCGGTTATCCGAAACACCGGTTAACTGAAAGCATTTCATTTGGCAAATTTAAATTTTTGCTAGTGCTGTGGCACTGCAATCTTTGGCTATATCTTGGGCTATTCCAATATTTTTTTGTTGGTCTGTGTGTTTTAGCTGGCAGCACTGGCACTTTTGTGTGGTGTTTTTCTGAGGACTGTGTTGTGCTGAATCAAACATTTTTGATACTAGATCAACTTCTAAAGTATAATTTTTTTTTTGCTTTTATATTTTTCAATATATTTATTTTGTTTATAAAAAAATAAAGAAATAATTTTTAATGATACAATAGGCATGATTATTATTTTAAAAAGTTTACGTTAGGCTTAACATCGACGAAAATTCAACGCGAAGCGACACGCAACAGAGAAAAATTTCAACATGGGATAGGTTAATATATTTTTTCGTACATAATCGGTTATCCAAAAAATAAGTTATCCGAACAACCTCAGTCCCCAATTGATTCGGATAAATGATGCTCTACTGTAATTCAAAATAAATTTATATGCAGAATCTTCCTATTGGAAAATAACATACCAGGTAGTGCCCTCAAATTGGAACTAAACAGGTTTAAAATAAATACTACCTTGATAAAGAGATATATAAAATTCCTCTTAAAATTAAAATATGCTGAGAATCTATTGATGAAATTATTATACCAATTATACCAGAAATCTATGGACAGAGAACAAAGTAGAAACTGGGTAACACAAATTTCAAAAATATTCAATATCTATGGTTTTTCTATAAAATTATTTATGGATCCTATAAGATAAATTATCAGCTAAGCCAACAGTTAATACAAAGTGTATTAGAAATCTCCCTATCTCAGGATATAGATATACATAAAAGGATTAAACCTGATTGGTATAATATAATTCTAGACTATCCACTCAATAACAACTATATGNTTATATCTGAATTCTACTTATTTAAAAAAAAAGCAACAGATTTTAAGAATATGTAAAATAGTTAAGTAATATTTGGCAAACAACAACTCTTTCCCATTTCAACTTAACATTTACAATTATTTATAAAAGTGTTTAAGAAAAAGCAATTAAAAGAAAGCGAAATCTCCAAAATATTTTCATTATAGTCACAGTTAATTTATACATTGCTTTTAGTTTCCTATAATGTCTTCAGATTAAATGTATTTCCAAAATAATTCCAAACAATGACAATGAATTATCTTCTTTTCTTAAAATACTGCATCATCAAAAAATACCAAAAACTTTGGTATTTTTAATAATGAAAACAAAGTTACATTTATATTAAACTGACTTTTAAAAAATTTTCTATATATATTTGGAAAAAAATATTTAATTTATTCATTAGTAAATCATTATATACATTGAGAATTTATTTGGAAGTTATTCTTGAAAAAATAATTATTGCTAATTCTCTGAGGATAATACAATATGCTGAGCAACAAATTTTAAAAATTATTCTGATTATTTAGACTATGAAAATAAGTCATTTGACTTATTTTCATATTCTAAATAATTATAATAATTTTGAGAAGTTATTCGAAAAATGAAAAAAGAAAAACATAAGCAATAAAATTATTTTATTTTTATCAAATAGATAAAAGTAGAATAAAACCATTGCTATTAGCCACACAACAATTCTGAATAATTTTGGTGCCTGAGGCAAGCCTAAGAACAGTGCCAACGCACTTATATTTCTATAAACATTATGACACCTTTTTAGTATACATTCCAATTTGGCACCTCAGGAAGTAGTCTCTCTGCCTCATCTATTGGCATGGCNGAAATTTTCATCATGTTAGTTATGGCGAAAGCGAACGATGGTTCGATATAAAATTATTATTATCGGACACGGATGGAAAATTATTATTTTGAATAAAAACAACTTATTATTTACATAGCAATTTGTTCCGTGAGAACAATCTTCGTTACATCATACAACATGACACCACGATTCATATTTTAATACTATTACGTAGCGTTTAACCAAAACGTAAACTTTTTACCATATAAAACGTATTAATAACCGATTTTAAAATTAATACGCTGTAAATAATTCAAAACTTTTAAATTTTTAAAAATAACATTAATATTTAAATTTATAATAACGTTAAAAATAAACCGAAACTTTGATTAGAAAATGACGTCAATGCGGGTCATGCGTCGTTGGCGTAATGATATAGACGACCCTAACAATATTTCGATATTAAATGTTAAACTAGTTACGATTGGTTAAAATATCGTATATTATTTGATATTATCCAATAATATTCCTTTTTAATTAAATGACGATCATTTCGGTATAGAGTTCGATAAAGTTAATCTCGAACCACTTACTTAGCGAAATCGGTAATGACGGACATCTTTTGTATAGAAGGCTGAAAATTCGTTAAGTTTTTAATTAATTTATAATATAAAGAAGATGTCGGGATTCGATAGTAATCCTTTTGCCGATCCATATGCCAGTAATCCGTTTGCGGTAAGTAAAATCTTAAGAAAATTCATTAAGAGACGTGACAACGATCGTCTGCATTGAAATTTTACCAATGCCAAATAAGAAAATGGCTAAATTTTTATTTAAAAAATGGCAATTTTATCACTTAATTAAGCTTTAAAATCATTAAGAAACGGATGACGATCGTCTCCATTGTATAATAACATATTACTACTATTAAATATGTAATTATGTAGGATATATTAGTTTGCTTCACCTCTTTCATGTGCGGTATTTTAGAAACATTGTACAGATGTGACAAAGAAGACTGTTTACACCCTTCCAAAGTAAATAAATTACACAAACAAGTTGTGGAGAAATGTAACAATTACATTAAAAAAAAAATAACTGTTTTTAAGTACTTGGAAATAGAATTTTTAGTATGGTAAGTATATTAAAAATTAAGCTTTCGTCTTGTGTATAGAAAATATTTGGATGGTAGTAAGTGCTCTGTCTTGTCGGTCCGATTACGGGTGTAATTAGATTAGTTTCCTGACAGATTTTCTTCCCGTAATGAAAATCAATGCTAATTTGTTGTTTCTTTGTTCCCTTGTGTTTACTTGTTAGTGGTGGTGAAGCCGAATAAAATGTTTCCTTCTCTTTCTGTCTGCAGCTAGATGTGAGGCTTCTCTTCTGGCATTTCATTTCATCTATCTTCTCTTTGATTTTTATATATACTTACTGTCTGTTGTTATTTTTTGAGCTTCGTGTTCGATACCCTGTTTGATATTCTTTTGTTTTTCGCTGTGATGAGTTTGAATTAGCTTGATTTTTCCTTTTCTTTATTTTATCTGTAATGGTTTTTTTCAGTTTCATCTTTTTTAAATTTTCATTCCTTCATGTTTAATTTGTTACATCAATAATTGATGACAAATAAAGTGTTTACTGTTGTATTGTTTTATCGTGAGAAAAATATTTAATCTTGTAGCTGTTGTAGTTGGTCGGAGCTGAAAGCATTCATTTCAACCACTTGAATTATTTTTACCTTTATTGTTAAAATATATATATATTTTTTATAGAGAACCTGAATGTACTATTAATCTTTACATCATTAAATCTTATATTACATTTTGATATTTTGTATATTGACTGAATTTATTGTAGTAATTGCCTATATTTTATTATAAAAAGATACAATTAATTCTATAGAAGGACAATGATATGTGTTAATAAATTCTGTAATAAAACACTTCTATGTTAATAAAATTTTTATTTCACTTGTTAATAATTAATAATAAATTCTTTGAATATTCAAAATGCAGTTGCCCAAGATGTTATAACACACTTACTAAGTTTCACATATTCTGTGATTGCAAGGAAACAAATGAGTTAATATGTACAGATAAAATCTGTGTGTTATCAAATTGCTCTAATGAAAGAGCTATGTTATGAAGTCTTTGATAGTGCAAAGATAGGCACAATCTATAGGTTATATAAATACGCTCAAGAATTCTTATTAGCGAAAAATTCTTAAATGTTAAAACATGTTAATTGTATTCAACTAGAAACTAATTTCAACATTTAGTTGATAAAAGTACTAAATACTAGTATTAAGCACTATAACAGGATACAAAGTACATTAGAATGTTAAGGCAAAGTGTAATTGTTTGAGAAAGAAAGATGTACTACTCAGTTGTGGTTTATTATACATGACAATAAGTTGTAATCAGAGGTTGGATGAATAAGTTAGTTAAATTGGTCTAGATGATTTTACTTCTGTGATAATAAATAATTGTTTGATATTAAATTACACCCTATGTAACAGGCGGCTGCCTTTTTACAAATAAAGATTGATTTGATTAATATATATATTTATTTATTTTTTAAATATTTTTAAAATATATGATCTGAAAAAATTGACTGTACTGCAATGTTTCACCATTGCTTAAGAATTTATATCATAATTACATACTTTAATATGGCCTCCTTCATATTCATATGGATAACGACAATCTATAATAATGTAACTCTTCACAATATCTTGATAATAACCTCTTATTAACTGTGCTACCTATAACATAAAAAATTAAAAAAAGATAAATTGAAAAATTAAATAATATTTAAAACAGATAAAAATATCCTATATGTAGTAGCATCTAGAGATAACAATTGCACAGTACAATATTACTGATAAACACTAGTCATCAAAGCAAGAAAAGAGGATAAAGATGTCTATAATAAGGCCAATACAATACTCTTATGTATAAATTTGTATATTAAATGATATACAGAGTTTAAGATTTTATTGTGTGGATGCCCGTGAATATTGTTTAATAAAAAAAAAAATAAATGTAGACATCTTTTTTCCCATGGATAGCTTTAATATAATATCATAAACACCATGCAAATTTAACTACTCAGATGTAAGCAAAAGTGAAGAGCCTAGTCATGTAATATTGTATATCTAAAATGTATGATTATAATCATAAATTGTCAAAAGAGAAAAGTAAAAATATGAAAAAAACATTAAAAACTCCAGATTTGTAATTTAATGATCAGCCTTATCATTTTCCAGAATGTATTTCAAAAAATGAACTTATTATCTAATACAAGATAAAATGGCAAATAATTATTATTTAATTAATAATCCAGTAGATTTTAATTGAGTAAATACTCAAAAACAGCAATAAGAAAGCTCAAAAACTGGGAGAAAATTCATACAAATATAATAGAAAATAACTGATTCAATAAAAACTATTTCAATCAGACATCTTCCACCACATTTCTGTAGATCTGTGGATTATGAAATCAAATTCTTTTTGCAGTTTAGGGAAACCCCCTATTGCAGATTATAATTACCATATTTACTCATACATAAAAAGAGGTGTGACTTTAAAGATCAAAATAAAGAAAATTAGATTTATTAATACAATTCTAATTTTATTTTGTTTAGTCACAAGTAAAATATCAAATGCTCGTAAATGCACACATTGTCCTGCAAAAATTACTGGCATTTTAAACTTTAAGGAAAAATCTTGTAAAATCGACAACATAATTTGTTCATGTAAAGCTTGACAATCTGGAACCTTTTTTGCCAATTCTTAACAGTTGAATCCATTTGAATCCACTCTCTGTCGATTACACGTACGAGTTTCTCCAAATTCTGATTTCTGAATAATCATCTGTTTTCATGTGGGAATGGATTAAAACTTGTATCGTGCTCCTGTGTGATTTTGGAATTTCAATCTGGAATTCAATTCAAAAGCTTTGTTTTTCCTATTGCTATTTATCGTTACTCCTGACAATATACAAGAACAATCCAAACGACACAGATAACATACTTATGTTTTTAAATACAAGAGGGTGAGCATCTGGTACAAAATGCAAATACATGGTTCACAAAAATTATTTGCAAAAAACACAGAATATTTTGCTCATGTGTATAGGATGGCCTAGAAATTTGAAGTTATGATAAATGAATAAAAACCTTGTCTTATATGCGAGTAAATATGGTATTTACAACATAAACGAATGAAAACTTCAAATTTTAATAATGGTATATGATGTAAGAGAAACCAATATTCAAATCATTTTAAATAAGATTAACAGTTTAGATAATGATATAAAGTTTGAAGTAGAAAATGATGATGATGATGATAAGTTAAATTTCCTTGATGTTCAAATAATAAGACTAAATAATCAGTTACAGGTTAAAAAATATATGTAAAACCATGTTCAATTTCAAAGATAATGAATTATACATCAGAAGTACCCATGTATATAAAAGAGAATGTGTTCCATATGCATATAGATAAAATAAAAAATAGAACTTCCCTTGGTGATCAAGAAACAGAAATAAATTAAATAAAACAGTGGTTATCCAATATGGATCAGAATAGAATAAACATTACCAATGCTCCCAACCAATCACAATTCATAAAAATAAAATATGAGAAAGGTATTTTTGAAGAAATAAAAAAAAAAAACGAAATTAAAAAATATCAAACAACATTAATACCAGAATTGTCGAACACACTAGGAAAATTAATCATGAATAAAAATAAAATAATTTGGACATTTGGAAAGAGAAAAATATAGTATATAAATTTAACTATAATTGTGCTAATGCACATGTAGGAGAAACTGGTAGAAAACTTAAAATTAGAATAAAAGAACATATTGCAGCAATAAAGTACAATAATGAATCTTCTGCAGTAGAAGAACATTGCAACAGTAACAATTGCAAAATAGTTAAAGATTCCGTAAAACTAATTAAAAAAACAAAAAAAAAAGTTTTAAAAGAAAGCTCTATGAACATTAGAAATTGTGAGAACCCAGAATTTGATGAAAAAAAATGCATGATGTCGTCATACCTATTTGGATGACCATTGTCCTTTGCTACCTGAGAACATCTCAATTTACATGTTCTTGGTGGCAAAAGTGACACTTTCCTGTGATCCCTTGACCTCACAGCCATGCGCTACCATTTTATCATCGGACAAAGTTATTCAACAAAGTTGTAATGTCAAGATGTTATGTTGTTAATAAGATTCTCACATATTCATCATTGAAAAGTGTAAGTGGTATTCTTATCTATGTATACTGTGTTCAATTGTCTAAAAAGATGTACAATTGCTAACAATGTATAACTTGTATAGGAGCTGATGAGAGACAAGATAGTCTGAAATGCATTCCCCATATAATATGAATCAATAAATGTTGATGAATTCCTAATCAAGCAATAATTCCTATTCTGTGTATAATAAGTCTGGTATTACAGTGGATGTTGATGGCCATTAATGAAACTCGAGACAACAATCAGGCATGAAGCAAATACAAGAAGAAGTCAATTTTAACTTATTACAATTATTTAACAATTAAAATTTAAATAAAAAGTTAAATATAAAGAACAATTTAGCTAATTATTATAATCATCAGTTAAAGTTTTTTAATAAAGGTTTCATTTTTCTGGAAAAAATTTCAATATTCATATCATTTCAGTCCACTATGAACTGAAGCAAAATAATATAGTTATATTTGTTTAACTAATCAACAAAATTAATCAATTTGATAAATAAAAATTAAATATTGGAAATGTTAAATTTTAAGATTTTAAATATCTAAACATAAAAATTAAAAGCTTACAGTTTCAGGAATTATATTCTTTAGATCATGTTTTCCCTCAACTAATGGAAGAGCATATGGCTAAAAGAGAAATAGTTTCACAAATTAATTTCTATAATTTATATATATATTCTGATCAACTTATATTTATTTTCAACTATAGCTCTCATTTTAATCATAAAAATTTAAATATAAAAAGTCCTTTTTTTCTAATATTTAAATGTTTTTAGAGTCCTTTTTTTTAAATTGATAATTATAGTAATTTAGCTAAACACTATAATCATCAGTCAATAAAAAGACTAAAAATATTCATTTTTGCTATTGGGCAATGCATCAGACAACTCTAAATCTTGGCTCATTTCAAATATGCATTCCCATCATAGTATGTACAGTACATGGTAGTATTTCTCCCACCTAATACTATTTCACTAAATCAAATCCAATAGGTCAGACTATAACAGTGTATTATCTAAGAGAGAAATTTACTCAGTTTATTGGTATTAATGACAAATATCTATCAAACATTTCTGGAAAAATTATAACATTATAATGTTATAATTATAATAAAGTAATACACAGTATGCCTAAGGAGCTTGGGAAAATATGACAAATCAGCATCTTATAGTAATATGAGAGCTTTTTATACAGAAGTATAATTCAACTACATTGTATTTTAACTATAAAATAGTGATATATACATATATATATCAAAAACTTTTTAAAAATTAATTATATCAAAGTTACCTTTGAAAAATCACCAATCAGGTCTGGTTCTTGTATAGCTAGATTATAAAATCAATAACATGAGTAATCAATACAAATAATATATTAGATATTTTAATTATTAATTACAATAACAGATAAAAAACATACATAAATAAACAAATTTATAATGTAAATCTAATTCTAGTAATATAGACCAAACCATAGCAAATTGTCTATTGGGTTACTCTGCTATTAATACCGTAAACAAACATAACTGTGAGCTTTCCAACTATAGAGGGGAGATCTTTAGGATGTCAGGATGGATAAGGGCATAATTTGTATGTGGGTGGTGGTAGCAAAGACAGATATGAGGCACCTTTACAAAAACCCATTTATTCATAAAGTATTTGCTTACATTGTCTTACAACAAATTCCTTCCATGTACAGCGATCATAAACATGAAAGTTTGTTATGGTAAGTATCAATGGTGTGTCCTGGATGGAGATCTAACAATAACCCCAACCTAGTGGCTAGGTAGCATTTGTTGGGTGAATGAATTAGTCACGGTCTGCCTGGGTGAGGAGGATGAGATGATCAGACTTGAGCAATATTGATGTCACTCGAGAAACAGGGTGACAAGGGTCTAAACTGGCAGCATAATCACAGGAAAAACTGCTTCTTTGCCCTTTTTTCTGCTTGTCCTTCTTCACTCTTTAATTTCTTCACTTTTTTCACTCTCTTTCCACTTTTGTTTTTGAAGTCCGGGGATTATATCAATCTCCATCCTCAATTGCTCATTCTGTTTGGTTGCTTTTCCTCATCCTCATTTTCCAAGTGGTTGGTCACTCATTATCATGCATAACAAGATCCAAGTTTGATTGCAAGAGAGGTCAAAATCAAAGTTGAATTTGATCTCCCAACAGGAGATGGTTGATCTTAGGATTTACATTTTTTTTTTTCTATTGTTTATGACTTTGCATCACATTTTCATATAAACAAAAATCCATGTCTAGCTGATAACATTATTCTTTTGTTCTTTACAACAATAATTTTAATGCAAATTGTTGTGATAGTTCGGACCTGTCCAGGACCTCACATAACATATAAACATTCATAAACAAGTATTAATAATTTCCACAGAAAAATAATACAAAATTGCTTTAAATTTTGTATTATTTGTATATTATAAATTAAACTGTTTTAAGTTCCATTTATTAATATATCAATATAATGTAAGTAATGACAGCAATGTAATAAATACACTCAATGACAAACAAGTTATGCATCCAGATAGAATTGTCTGATTACTGCAAAATCCAGCCTACTTTTAGATCTCAGAAGATATGTAAATATGAGATCTGCAAGTTAATTAGATTAATTGGTTTAATATAATGAGGATAAATATTTTATTTGTTTAAATAATTTCACTCAAAAGGATGTAACTTTCATCATATTCAGAGAAAAGGGAAGTCAACTTCCTTTCTCTTGCAAGCTTATTGCTATTTCATATAGCCACAAGTCAGTTTATCTGCTAAGCACTTGTTACACATCCTGCTCGTTCTTTAGACGCTATTGGGCAGAGGTCCCAATAAAAAGGGAATTTTCCTGTCACCCAAGGCAGTTCATCGAAGATAGAACATGCCATATGACTTATGGCTGTTCTCTACAATTCAGAGAAGCCATAAGAAGGGCAGGCTTCCACAGTTTGAAGGTGCCATATAGATGTTTGACCATAATTTATACTGAGCGCATAGAAGATTGATTTTCCCGGTCCACATCATCCATCTCCCAAGCTCCTCATAGAAGACTTTGAGTATGAATACTACATAAGACGAAGTAGTATATATATTGTTTATTGTAAGCTCTCTCTCTCTCTGGTATAGTATTCACGTGAGGCATAGAAATATAAGTATAGTTAGATATAAGCTCGTTTAACTCCATTGTACTTCCAATGTTATCTTATGTCATATTTAGAAATATGTATATAGTATATTTCGTTTATTCATTAAATCATATTTGTTATGTTGTTTATTCGACTTCTGTCATTCATTTAGCTTGAACTATTTGTCACTCATGCAATGCTCCACTTGTAGAAATAGCCCTCCTAGTAATCATTTTTTTATATATGCGAGTTGGACTGCAACTAAAATAGTTTAACTAGTGTCAGTCCTGACAGGATCTTGACTTTTCTGAATCGTGATCAACAAACTCAAAAAAGCCATCCTTTGACTCTGAGGGCCAGTCTTACAGATTTTGCACTGCCAATTAAGAGGTAGAGAGACTAACCCAGACTTTCCTATTCATGGCTAGCCATTCACATAAATGATTACATTTATTGATATTACATGTCATGCAAACAGACACAAGAATAACTTAAATTTGCTAAACTTGCACTGTGTTTAGAATTTTCAGTGTACCTGCTGTTTGCAGGTATTCAAATGCCGAACATGCTGTATGACACGATTAAAACATTACAACTGATGCAGTTTGACAAAGGCCATGTAATCAAGATAAAGGAAGCAGGATGACTGTTTTAGACAGTCCACTAGTAGGGATGATCTACTAGTGAACATCTAATAATGAGACAAGAAGGAACAGCCTACAACAGTGTTTTTGTGTAATATCTGCAGACAGGTGAGAGCATCACTCCAAAACCTGTCTCTTCCTGTATCTTTGCCAGATAATTAATAAAGGAAAATCTGCATGCACAGCAACCACTGTGTGTTCTGTCATTAGCACTTCAACTTAATCTGTTTCATTTGCATTACTGCACAGACAAAGAAAAGTGAGCTATTATGAACTGGTAGCATATCTTTAGTGACAAATCCCAGTTCTGTTTGAGAATGGATGATCACTGTTAGAGTGTGGAGGACCACTAGCGAGTGCTTCAATTCTGCCTTTATTATTGAGCAGCACAATGCCTCTAATGCTAGCATGCTGATATGGGAAACCATTTTGTATCATAGTCATCCCTAATAGTGGTATGTAAAGGAAAAATAGCCATTTTCCAGGAAGATAATGCTCAGCTGTACACAGCTAAGATTTCTATGGAATTTCTTCAACACATTGCTACATTCCACTTGCCTGGCTGGTGTCCAGATTTATAGCTCATTGAGTATTTGTGAAATCAGATGGATGTCAACTTCAGTCATCTACAAATGAGAGGAATCTGAAGCTGCAGTTGCAACATCATTAGGCAAATCTGTTACAAGATACTACATTATACAAGTTATACTACACTGTTACACTGTTAACCTTATAGCCTCCATGGTCAATTGTATTGCCACATATATTCAGACATGAAGAGGTTCTACAAGGTACTAAAAAATTTCTTTTAAATTGTACCATTGTTCTACAAGAAATTATCTCTGTGCTGTGATATTGTAATCATTTATCACCACTGTCATTACATTTGCTCTAATAAAGTTTACTTCTATTACAAAACCTCTTTCTTGGTGTATAGCATTTTGTCAATGGATGTATATTTATATCCCAAAAGAGGTTTTTCCAAATAAAAATAATTAAAGAAATTTCACTGTACCATACATTTTTTAAGTCTATAATATATTTGACTTGTGTAAACCTGCTTGAAATAATTTGAATTTTGTAGTAGTACAGAAAGTAAGGGATAAGTTTTTCAGAATATTACTGTAAGTGGATTTTTAGTTCCAAATTATGTAATAAGTGCAAAACTTAATAAAAGGCAAGTTAAAATATACTGCATTAAAATAATAATGAAATCCTTTAATTCATCATCATGTTAATGAAAATACTTTGATTTATTTTTTATATATCAAATATTTAAGAATAAAAATAGATGATCAGAAAATTTGTCCAAGTTCTTTAATAGTTTATTATTTCAGAAGAAAATCCTAATGATAAAAACTCAGTGAAAAATTATTTCAAGATGTTAGTAAATAATTATATGACTCAACTTATAAACTCAGATAACTTATAACTTTCACTCAAGTCAATTTCATAGTATATACAAATTATTAATATAAAACTTTTTCTTTCATGATGTAAACTTCATTTTAATGACTTTCTTTACAACTAAGACTGAACACTTAGTTTATAGAGCATGAATCAAAAACAAACATTAATCTTAAAGAATTATGTTACTTTTGTAAGGAGAATATTTTCTTACTATTTCATTTATTTGTCAAGTGTAAAGAAATGCAACCATTAACATGTAAATTAAAGTGACCAGACTGCCGAATTACAGGAGAGTCTCACTTTTAAACTATTTGAAAAATGTCCTGTTTTTGGACTGTTTTATGATTATACTCAAAAATATTCAATATACATTGCATGGATTGCTACTGCTGCTTATTTTGTAAACAAGAATAAAATATGTGGATAAGTAAAATGATCATTGGTTGTTAGTAACATCTGTCAACAATATCAGAAAGTGAGAAAACCAATGATCATCAATTAAAATTGATCATACGATTAATCATGTCATGTTGAAACACCTGACCTAAAGTCCCACTTTCTACATTTCAGAATCTGGTCACTTTATGTAAATACAAGTCAAATGTTAATTTTGATAGAGGTAACCATGATAATTTTTTATTATAATTTCATAATTTTCTGAAAATATCTGTTGTTAAATTTTGTAGTTCTTTGTAATGACTTTTTAAACATTGGAATAATTTATGTAAAAATTGAGTTTATTGTTTTTGTAAGAACTTTGATTATGAAAACTATTTCTTAAAAATAAACTAATAATTTATTTCCTTCTTTATTTAACAAAGTTTTATAATAAAAAGCATATTTTTAATATAAATATTTATTTAAGATTAAACAAACTTTGGGATATTTATTAACTACTTATATTTTAGAATAAATAAAAACTACTTACAGCGTTGCACAGCATTCATTATTGCAACTTCATTTAGCGAGATTGATCTTTTACAATGTTTATCATTTTTCTAAAAATATATTTTCTATTTTAACAACAAATATATTAAAAATATAAATATTTTTATTGTAATTTATTTGAAAAATACTTCAATACTTTAATATTAATAACAATAAAGTTTCACTACATAATAAATCCATTTACTTTAACATCTTAATCTTTACATATGTAAATAATGGGATAAAACTACTTTATAACATCATTTCCTAAAAATATTAGATTTTAAGAAAAGAATGTCACAGAGTACATTAAATTATTAATAAACAAACAGGTATATACTGTATATATATAAACAAGTTTATATGTATATATACTTGTTTATTTATATGTATGTTTTCATTAATATATGTTAATATATATTAACATATCTACATATTGTATTCAGTTTACATAAGCTGAAAAATAAGCCATGAAAAATAATGAAAAATAGACATTTCATATAACACAACAATAGATATAGCATTCAATATTGTGAATGAATATTGTTTTTAAACTTCTATAAATTTAAGAATTGAATACTCTTTCAGAATTCAACTGATTCAATTAAGTATAGGCAATGGAAAATATCATTTTACTACTTTTTATCATCATATTTCTTAGAAAGGGCACTTATGTATTTGTTTTCAAACAGTTTCTTATGATTATAACAAAATTAAAAAATTAAAATGAATTTTACTATATAATTATTAAAATTTGATTAAATTCAACTTGACAATTAATAATGAATTTAAATTATTTTGAGATAAAGATAAGAAACTGCATATTCAGTTTAAAAAATATACATATATATATATAAGATTATTTTAAGTCAACTTAGAATTATGTAGTTATTCCACATTAGTATTTTAAATCAACACAGTAGAACCCCAATTATGTAAGCTCTAATTAACTAAGCTTCCGCATTTTATGAGGCAAACCTGTAAATACTACTTTTCTTATACTGTAATTCATAAAAGAAATCTTCAAAACAGCTATATGTAATTTGCTATAAATTTTAAAGACATGTCACACCACAGTTTTCAATAGGAAAGTTCACTGAGATTTTATTAAACTAATATGTACATTTCAGGCCATATAACCTTCCTCAGTTATAATTCAAGTGTTTTCGTTTTTTCCAATTTGTATTTGACATTAAATTTTAATTTTAATTCACAATCTGCATCCTTCTATTTTCTATGACATGTAAATATCTAATCTGTTACAATATAATTCAAGTATTTTTGTATATTTTCCTATTTTCATTTAACATTAGCTATGACTTGATAAAATTTAAACAAACAAGTGTTACATCATCAAACTTCTGTGTTGTTGACACATATATCAACACAGAAGTTTGATGTAACACTTCCTAAACTTCCTAACAATGTGACGTGTGTTCAATATTGCAACTTTCTATAGTGCCATTTATATGTTTTTATTAAGGTTTAATGTTTCTAGACTTTTGTATAGTGTATTTCTTATAATACAAGTAGAAGAGGGGACAACAGGTACAATAAATACTTATCAATCATCCACAGCTGCCTTATTTCTTGAGCAAGTGGAGTGTACTTGTTGATTTTTGCAGTTTATGTTATGAGTGTTTGAAACAGAGATGTCTATTATATTAAGCAATCATACTGCATTTGTTAATGAGAGAATGATATTGGGTCTTCTATTGTGATGAACTATTTTATCTGTGATTATGGCTCTGTCATAGTATATTTTGTATGCCATTTTCTAATACTGCATGTGCAGTACATTGTAGTATGGTATCTGGGTGTTTATTAATCCATGTTTGTGTACAACTTCTTGGTGTATTATATTTGCTATTTGATTATGCCTATGTTAATAATCTGTTTGTGTTAAGATCTTGCAACCAGAGGTTATATGTTGTATTGTTTCTGGCAGAATGTGACATTTTCTGCAAGAGTCATTTGTGAGTGATGTATCTATCCTTCAGGATTTGTTTTCTGTAGTTTTTAGTGTTTATGATCTGATCTTGAATGGCAACCATAAAACCCTTAGTCTCTCCAAACAGGCATCAAAATCCTGGCCCTAGTCAGCTAGGAGTTTGATGCAGTTTTGTCAACATAGTCCTGAGCTAGGTCATAGGCATGCCTGCCATGAAGTGCCTTTAGGGCCCATGATTACTTAATGGTATTTATGTTTTTTTTTATGTGTTGAACTATGTCCAGGTGCTCAGAGTGTAAGTTTAAAGGTGTGTGGTTGCTATCTGCCAGTTATAGCTTTATGTAACTTTGATGCTTTTTGTTTTTTTGTGGAAAAACTCCTGCAGTGTCTAAATTTATTTATAGTGCAGGTTAACAATATTAGTAAGACCATGGCCACTTTCTTTACAATGAAGAGTTAGTTTTTCTACAGACAATTTCAAGTGATATTGTTTATGCTTAGTAAGTGTTGTTACCTTTTTCCTTTAGAGTTGCTCAAGATTTGTGCATGTCCAGTGTATAACTTCAAAAGAATAAAAAGTACAGGGACATCTTAAAATATTAATAGCTTTAATAGTATGTTTGCATTTAGGTGAGTTTTTTAGTACTGCATGTAATCTGTTCTGGTATTCAAGTGTTAACCTTTGTTTTATCTGAGCATGTTCTGTAAGTTTGGCCTGTTAGAATCCTAAATATTTGTAAAACTTGTCCTCTTCCATGGATTCAATAATACTTCCACTTCTGAGTACAAAATCTCCTTTCTTCAGAACTCCTCTTTCAATGTGTAGTGTTTTACATTTGTCTAGACCAAACTCCATTTGTATATCGATTTTAGTATGTGTGTGTAGTTTGTAGGAGATAATGATGATGATGATGATGATGATGCATAAAGTTTGATATTGTCCATGTACATGAGGTGTGATAATGTGAACAGTGTTGTTTTATTGTGTCTGATACTATAGCCATATTGTGATTTTTTTCAATGTGTTAGATAAAGGGTTACGCACAAGGCAGAACCAAAGAGGACTCAAGGAATCTCCTTGAAAAATTCCTTGCTTGATGTGCTTATTTTTGATTTGTTTTCATGTGAGTGTTATGGAAATTAAGATGTAATCTTGTTCTCCAGTGGAGCATGGTAGAACCAAGGAAACTAATGAGTTGGGGATGGATTTTATAGATGCAAAGTGTGTGCAGCAGTCAAATGTGAGACACACTGTCAAATTATTTTCTGTAATCAATGTATTCCATGTTATGTTTCTGCATTGCTTATGAACTTGCCATAGGATAACAGTCAACAAGTAGTTGTTCTTTGCAACCTTTGTGATTTCTACAGCAGCATTTTTGTTGTTCTGTAAGAATGTCATGTTCATCAATATGATTGTAAAGTTTGTTGCAATGCAAGAGGTAAGAATCTTGTAAAGTGTTGGAAGACATGTAATTGGTCTGTACTGTGCAGTGTCTTTGGTAGTGGTGTTTTTTGGTTTAATGTAGATTATGCCCTGATGAAAAAATTTGGCTTATCTTGTAGATTGATGATGATATGAGTTAAATGTTTAGATAGTTCCTGGTGCAGGAATGTTAATTTTTTGTATCAGAAATTGTGAATGTTGTCTACACCAGGTGTTGTCCAATTGTGTGCTTTCTGCATTGTGCAATGGATGTCTTGTGTATTAATTTCAACACAGTGCATTCTAGGTATGTCCTGCATGTCTTTGCTTTCCTCTCTGATCCAGTCTGCATCAGCATTGTGCTTAACAGCAGTAGATCAAAGAGAAGACCAATAATTTGTGAGTTCTTTCTCAGTTGGCATGCCATTGTGTTGGAAATCTGTAGTGGATTTGATATTAATTTGTCTGTGGAAGTTTTTTTTTATTGTTTGTGAATAATTTATTTTGTTGTTTCCATACAGAGCAAATTTTGTAACATTTGAGTCATTGTGCTTTGGCTGCAAGTTTTTGTTTGAGTGTGTCAATGTATTTTTTGATGTAGACATTGTGTTGTTCCTGCTTTGTATGTGTTTTAATTTTCTTGAAAATTTTTTTTGTTGTTTCATTAATTTAGGTGTTGTTTTGTTATTGGCATATTGTGCCTAGCCTGTCTAGTTGATGTCTAATATTGTTTATTTGTGTTTCTATTCTTCTTTGCCAGGCAGGCTTATGAACTGTTTTTGATTTGTGCACTTCTGTTTGTGGATGCAGTTTTAGTCCATGGAAGGTCACTACTGTGACTGCTCCAGCATAGACTAGTGTGTAGATGTCTGAGAGTGAAGAAATAGAATGAGTGCAATCTAGTAATATGCAAGTGTTCACATAATGCAGAGTTTTCCCTACTAGTTTAGAAGTGCTGATTTTGGGAATGCATGACTGTTGTGCAGGGTCAGCATCTGTAAATTTAGTGAGTACTTCCTGGAAAAAGGAGAGATAGAGTATGAATTAAACCTGAATCTATTTCAGGCAGTGAATAAGTGTTGATATTCTCAGTATCAGTGAAAATAGTGGTGATAGGAACAGCATTGTCAATGTACGTATCTTGATGATCCTGATGGATAATGTGATTGTTGTTGATGTTGGGAGTATTTGTTTGTTGGTGTAATTGTTCTGTAATTTGTTGTTTGATATGTTCTAGTGTTGTTTGTGAGTATAAGGTTGTTATGTATAATTGTTCTTTTTTGATCAACTACCCTTTGTACAGTGACTGTGAGATGAGGATAATATTATGAAAACAAGTGATATAACCCTTATCATGTCTGTTTAGAGTTTTGTAATGGTGACGTAAGTATAGATGATAAACTCGTTCATTTCTGATGTCCATTTCATCCACTGGCATGGTTTATCCAGCTTAGTGGTCTGTGGTTGGATTGCCTCAGAAACAACAAAAGTAGGCTGGTTTCCCACAATTGGTGTGGGCATTGCAGTAGCCATACTTGGACCAGTGATGCCTTCACCACTGGTGGCCAAGGGAGACTGACATTTTTTGAATGTGAGCCTCTCCTTGCTTGTAAACACAGACCTTGTTAACCTGGGCCATTATTACACTTAGATTGTATTAACATGATTAAGTCTCCACAGATATGGGTTCAATCACTCTTGGCTTCATTTCTCCCCACAAATCTTACTGGCATGGGTGACCCTACCAGGAGCAGATGTCCCAGCTGACATAGCTCTCTGTGGTCATCAGAATTACTGAGCTCTCTCACCACAGCAAGTTGGTAACTGGTGAGTGTTGTTAATAATAATAATTATAATAATAATACTATTACATTTTTTACTAATTTTTTATTACTTGTAGATCACTTATTGTTTTTATATTTACCATATCCCTTCTTCTCTTATAATTAATAGGCCAAGATAATGTTTCTGCTTCTAAACGTTTATTACATGTCCTAACTTCAATAGTATTATGTCTTGATGATGAATTTGATTCTTCAAGTTTTTTATCCTACAATATATAAAATAATTATTTTAAATAATTATTAAAAATAAATACAGATTAATTACAATATAATAAATTTAAGCTATAAGAACATATAAATTCATGGCCTCTAAATCATATTTATTCCCATACAAATAAATGGCTTGTATTGAAAAGGTTAAAATCTGTATAATCTTCTAGTACTAAAAATCATGTACCTGATTCAGAAATTATTAGACTGTTCATATATAAAGTGCTTATTTTAATAAATTATTATGACTACAAACAATAGCCAATATCACTTACACTTATTTTTCAATTACCAGTAATTCAGTTCTAATTTCAATAAATGTTTTCTATATATTTCTGAACTTTATTTATGATTTACTGTACATTTCCTATTCATATTTTGAATCTTATAAAAATTAATGATTTAATTAAAATTTTTGTATTAAAGTAATAATTAAAAATCTTACATGTTACAAAATAATTACTGAGTAATTTGATAAAACAATAATAATAAAAATAAAACTTTTAGTTTCCAGGAATGGCATAATATCTAATTGTTTATTGCATAAATATATAATAATGTAAATCTAATATTCTTGATAAACTATATGTATATTTAAAATATTTGTACAAATCTACTAGGCATTCATTCATGTCAACAAAAAACACTAACAACTATTATTTTGTTTCCTCATAGTTAAAGATAAAATTACATATTTTTGGGCTGTAATTTGAAAAAACTGTAGACCTATAAATTCCTACTATTGTCTGTCCTTCCTTAATCTCAAGAATGTGTTAGATAGATGAAAGTCAAGACCAGATATGGAACCAGGACCAGGAGGATGTGATTAACTATATATGGAACCAGGACCAGGAGGATGTGATTAACTATATATAAACTTCCGCTTTGGGTCAGAAGTCATACTTTTTCAATTCAAAAATTTTCTCTTAAACAGAGCAGCATGACTTTATTTTTAAGTGGAAAAGTATGATGTACAGGGGCAATACACTACTAAATGTAAATGCATTGTGATGAAAAATTGAAGCCTGGCATTGTGACAATGTCACAGTAAATAATTGCTCATACACTATATGTTAGAATAAAGAAATATTAAATTATTTTTTAAATATTGGCATAACTCCATTCAAACCCATCATTATATTGGAATATTATTTTAACAATAAGATATTGAAGAAAATTCTAATACTAACAGTTAGACATTTAGAAAATAATACTGTAAATTGTTAACTTTGTTTATAACTCTGAATTTAAATTTCTAGCCTTAATACATTAAAAAACAAAACAAACTGGAAATAAGGCAGAACAACATAAAACATGAGTAAGAAAAGTAAATTTAAAACAATATAAATTTAATTTTTATTTTATATTTTAAGAGTAAATATAAAATAATTACTTCATTCTGCTGTAATGTTGATTTTACACAACATGACTCAAAAGTACTAGCATCTATATTTTTTTCTAAATTTTCAGAAGTTGAAATTTTTAAAGGCTTAGTGATAAGATTTGTATACTTGAATGGCATTTCTGAATTTTCATCCTAAAAAATTAAAAAGCATAAATGAAAATATAGTATAAATATATTTAAATTTTATAGTAAAACTCAGCTTTATTACATTATGTTGATTAAGTATTACTATAAAAACATAGCATAAATAAAAATAAAGTTTTATTTCATATTAGATTCTTACCTCTATACTCATTGTTTTTTTAATTTATTGAAATTACTAAGTTTAATCCATTTAAATCATAGAAAATCCATTTCTAAGTTATTAAATATTTATAAATGAATTTTATAAGCATTTAACATGCAGTTTAAAATTTTATTCCAATCAATAAAGACAACAGATATAGTCTTATATATATAAAATAAAATATTTTTGAAAACTGAATATTAAATATTGTATTTAATAATGTCTACTACAGAAAGAACTTAATATATTATTGAGCAATACATATTTTTTTTTTTATTATTATAAAAATAAATCAAAACATAATATATGGAAAAGATATCTATATTATTATACTAGGAGTTCCAACCTAGACCACCTTTAATAATCCAATCTTAGTGTTTGCATTGCTTTGTAATGCACTTTACATATTTTTGCGATATAGTGGTACACTGATACTCAAACTTAATTCATTCCAGAAGTCTGAGTACCAAACAAATATTTTCAATAAGAAATAATATAAATTAGATTAATTGTACTCTTGGGGTGCGGAATGGGTTAATCATTTAAACTAGAATTTAACACAATTTAACAAGAAGTTTGTAAACTCAGCATGCATTTTGAACTAAATGATATACAACAGACAAGTGCCCAAAAGCTATCAATGAAGAAAACCTGCAAAAAGAAATTGTTAAAAAAAATTGATGTGTAACAATTCGTGAACATGTAACAAATCTTAACGTGTCACAGACACGTATTATTAAAATACTTCATCAACTTTGAACGATTGCAAAACATGTTGATTGTGTTCAGTCTGCATTAAGTGAAAAAACAAACTGGACTAAGCATAATTTTGTCTGATGAAGATACTAGCTCTAAGGTTTCATCTTATTTTTAAATTGCTCACTTTTATAGAATAATTTTGTCAGCCATGAAAAAGTTAATTTTTATTTTATAGCTTAAGAGTAAATATACTCTTAAAATAATAAAGTTAAAATAAAAATATTTGTTATTAACTAAAAATTTGTTCCAGTGGGTTGTGATTGTTCAAGTCAAGAATCATGCAATTTTTTCCCCTGAAAATGTGTTTGAATACTAAATTGTTTGAGTTCTGAATGATTTGAGCACCAAGGTACCACTGTATATTATTTTCTCAATTTCTTTAAACTTTTTCTTATCTTCATGTATTTCAATTACAGTAGTATTTAAACTGGTAAATTACAGACTTGTTAATTTAGTAAATGTTAAGCTTAATGCCAGAGAGAATATATCCTTCATAAATGACATTATGAAGGATATATTAATCCTTCATAATGTCATTTATCTGTCACTCATCCCTCCATATAATAAGTAATTCATCTAATTTTATCCAGTGGTTGTTAAATAGAGCAATCATTGGATTCTCTACTCATTTAACTACTACTTTGCTTAGGTCTTCTGAAATTAGAAAGTCTCTTGGAATGTCTGTACCTTGTCTGTAAAGTTTTAATCTCACATAAAAAAAGAGAACGATAAAATTATGTCTAAATAATCTGCTACATCTTAAATGATTTAATATTTTGTGTTGATAAGTTAAATATTTGATAAAAACTAATATGTTGTTTTTGATAACATATAAACATACTACGCTGTTAATAAGTAGATTATACGTATATAATTAAACTTGACTCTCCCAATAATCCAGCAAAAACATGTTTTTGCTGGATTGCTGGATGAGTCAAGTTTAATTTATATGAATATACTACTGCATTCTCACATAATCATCTGATTTATTTTAATTTAAACTGTTGTTTGATTCTGTAACATTCTAATGGTTATTAATGATACAATTAAAATTCATTATTATTTATTTTGAATATACAATATAAAATTGACTGTAACTTAAGATAGCCACTCTCAACATCATAAAAGACATAACAGTTTTTTATGATGTTGGGAGCAAAAGCCAAATCTAAAAATTAATAAAATTTTTCTTTTTACTTTCAAAGAAATTTATTAGCATAAAAAATTTTATTCTGTTTTAGTCTTCTGNTTCCAGTGGGTTGTGATTGTTCAAGTCAAGAATCATGCAATTTTTTCCCCTGAAAATGTGTTTGAATACTAAATTGTTTGAGTTCTGAATGATTTGAGCACCAAGGTACCACTGTATATTATTTTCTCAATTTCTTTAAACTTTTTCTTATCTTCATGTATTTCAATTACAGTAGTATTTAAACTGGTAAATTACAGACTTGTTAATTTAGTAAATGTTAAGCTTAATGCCAGAGAGAATATATCCTTCATAAATGACATTATGAAGGATATATTAATCCTTCATAATGTCATTTATCTGTCACTCATCCCTCCATATAATAAGTAATTCATCTAATTTTATCCAGTGGTTGTTAAATAGAGCAATCATTGGATTCTCTACTCATTTAACTACTACTTTGCTTAGGTCTTCTGAAATTAGAAAGTCTCTTGGAATGTCTGTACCTTGTCTGTAAAGTTTTAATCTCACATAAAAAAAGAGAACGATAAAATTATGTCTAAATAATCTGCTACATCTTAAATGATTTAATATTTTGTGTTGATAAGTTAAATATTTGATAAAAACTAATATGTTGTTTTTGATAACATATAAACATACTACGCTGTTAATAAGTAGATTATACGTATATAATTAAACTTGACTCTCCCAATAATCCAGCAAAAACATGTTTTTGCTGGATTGCTGGATGAGTCAAGTTTAATTTATATGAATATACTACTGCATTCTCACATAATCATCTGATTTATTTTAATTTAAACTGTTGTTTGATTCTGTAACATTCTAATGGTTATTAATGATACAATTAAAATTCATTATTATTTATTTTGAATATACAATATAAAATTGACTGTAACTTAAGATAGCCACTCTCAACATCATAAAAGACATAACAGTTTTTTATGATGTTGGGAGCAAAAGCCAAATCTAAAAATTAATAAAATTTTTCTTTTTACTTTCAAAGAAATTTATTAGCATAAAAAATTTTATTCTGTTTTAGTCTTCTGTTTTTTACCTATGAATAAATCATTATTTAAATTAACTTAAAAGCTGACACCAATTGTTCCAGCTTTTAAGTTAAATCGAATGGTGTATTTTGTTCATTATTTATTAGATATGAAATAATACAATTTAATTACATAAAAAACATCAATAAGTTAAATTATTATTCTTTATTTGATTTCTTTGATTTATTGAATTTTACATGAAATATCAAAAGTAAAATAAATTTTCTTTAATTTTTCATTGCACATTTGCATTATTATTTTATAATTTACATGAAAAAAATCATTTATCAAAAATTTAAGCAAACAACATTTTCCAGATTATGATTTTGAATAATAATATTAAATTAATTACTAGGTAAAGTTATAGAAAAAAAACCAAATAAGCATTTCTAATAATGACAAACTCTGAAGTTTTATATTAAAATACACATAAACATTATAATAATAAATATAATAATTTATGTAAACTATTTTGTGTATGATAAAAATAAAGATATTTGCTTACAAATTTATCATCAAGTTCATTTAGAAATCCATCATCATTGCTCACAATAGAACTGTAACTTGTACTAATAGAACAATTTGATGTCAACTAAAAATAAATAAAGAAAACAAAAATTAAATTTATTATATAGTTCTAATTAAATATTATCTTCAAAATCTAAACTAAAGATTTGACTATTTTTTCATTAAAGTAATGATCCATTTTTATATTGTTGTCAATAAACCATGTTAGTATACATATTAGTCTATGCAAAATATATAATAAAGAATCACATTTTTTACATTTATCTCATATAATCCAAGACAATATAATACAACCTTAATACTATTGAATGAACTACTCAAATTGATAATTGGCTAACTGAACTGATTAAATTCTCATATGATCATAATTATTTGAAATAGCAAGAAAATTTTTTATACAACTGGAAGATATAAATGTGGGATCTAAAATAGGACCAAAATTAGCTGAATTGGTTATGATTAAATTTGATGAAATATTAAATAAAACTCCAGGTTTAGTGTTATGTTTAAGATATAAATTATTAAATAATTATCTACATAACTCCCAAAAAAATCAACAGTAGTACAATTCTGAAAGTAANTTTCAATAGATTAATCTTTTGACAAAATTTTAAATTTCTTATTTTCAAATTTATCAAAATACTTTGCCTATGCTTTTAAATGCATTTTAGGCAATTAATGTTTAAAACTGTACAATATAAATAAGGTGTGTCAAACTCATTTAAACAACAAGCCATTAATGCGACTGGTAAAATTCCCACGGGCCACATTACACTTACAAATCTTCTTAAGATTATAATTTGAAGTGAGAATGCAGGAATATAGATAGGGCAATTAAAACACATTATGTAGTTCAGTGAATGCAACTCAACAATATATATATATAGTATTACTTTTATTTAAACATTTATTTTATTTAATGTTCGTATTTATAAATCTAAAATAAATTGTTTACACCGGAAACAGACAGATCTAGGTTTTTCAGGGCCTAAGGTTTATTGAAGTCCAATGGGACCCCATTTTTGCCAAACCTAACCTAACTTATTAACTATTTTTACTATATGATAAGTGCTCATCGTTAATGAAAATGTATTAAAAATTTATGATGATAATTTAATTTAATTTTTGTGGACCCTCAAGTGTCAAGGGTCCACAAATATTAAATTATCATCATAAATTTTTAATACTTTTTTATTAACAATGAGCTACATAGGGCTAATAGGGCTTAAGCCCTACTAGTCCCTATGTAGATCTGCCCGACTGGAAACTTGCCAGTGTTAACTTCCTCTTCCTAGTTTTCCGATATCTGGATTCAAAGACTGAGAACAAACAATCTTCATTATGGCAGATAGATGTTTATGTTAGTCTTGATCTGTAAGCTGTTTTATTTAATTTCAGAGTATCGTGGCCATGGNGTTGATTCAATACAAAGTAAGATATTACTATTATGTTTTATTTTATTTTTTATTTTTAATTAATTTTGTACTTATACCTAGCTCTTAATAATTTTAGTTACTGACAAAAAGCCATAAAATATAAGTTGGTCTGAAATGCATCTATTTATGTATGTAATCAACCAAAATAAATATAATTAAACCCTAAATTTAGGATTATTGAATTACTGGTAGCATAAAATAATCTGCAGACACGGGATTATGGAATTTTCAAGAATCGGCTAATTGGAATATAGCCAGTGATCCCAACAAGAAATGAATTATATAAATTAATACATAATAAAATTAAACTATATTAAAATATCCAAACTGTTGAAAATATAAATACNAGACTGTGTATATATGTGTATAAGACTGTGTATTATATATAAATAAATGTAGTAAGAAAGTATATATTTTTTTATTTTTGATGGTCTCCAGAACAAATTAATCAAATTCCCATAAAAACCTATGGTAAATTGATAATCGGTTAATAAATAATTCGGATAGTAAACAAAGTCTTGGAACAGATTATGTTCGTTAAACAATCACCCACTGTATTATATTTTTATACAGTAAAGTCTTTTAAGTCATTCAGTTGTATTTTTTAATTTGATATACAATACAGCATGGATTCAAAGACTGAGAACAAACAATCTTCATTATGGCAGATAGATGTTTATGTTAGTCTTGATCTGTAAGCTGTTTTATTTAATTTCAGAGTATCGTGGCCATGGGCCACAAAAAAATTACATCGGGACTGCCAGTTTGACACCCGATATAAATTAACATTTCTGTGTTATGATTAAAAGAATACTTTCATTATTAAAATAGAGCAATTAAAAATCTCTTCAATAATACACTGTTTTAATAATATGATACAAAATTTTACAAAAAATTATTAACTTTATAGAGTATAATAAACTATTTAAATGAATTTGTGTACTCAAATTTATATAGCTTAAATTTAATACATACTATTATAAACACTATACATGCATTACTTACAAATAAGTATCACCACTAAACCTTTGGGTTTCCGGTTTAGTGGTGATACTCATTAGTACTAGTACTGGTAATTTCTCTAGAAAATTACTTACAAAAATATTAAAATGGAATAATCAATCATAATAATTTGAAAAGTTTATTTTATGTTGTATAATTTGTTATTCAGTATTTTTTGTCATTGTCAATTACAGTGGGCGATTGGTTAACAAACAAATTGGATAACAAACACTTTTGTGAAAGATTTTTATGTTCAGACAACGAACACATGTTCGGATAACAAACACCTCAAAGAACAAACAGGAGAGGAAGCAATGTAAAATAATGAATACCATTGACATCAATGTCCAACCCGATATATATTGATCAGATAGTATTCCTCCGAACTTTGAAACTCTCCCTTGTAATTCCAGCCTTTTATTTTTCTGACAAAAACAATTCTTTTATAGTATTTGTGAGACTGTCGGGTGGACACTCATTTAAGTTTTTGTGTCAGTTTTTATTTTTGAAAGGTGAGAGTATAATAGTGTGAGCTGCCGGGGGTTGGGAATTCCTCTCCTTTCCGACAGTTGGTCAGTGACCTACTTTCTTGTCAAGGATGGTATTTATGTTCAGTTACGCGTTACATGAGTGGAGGAGAGTCAGAGGGGTCGACGATAAGATGTTGGCTAAGTCGAGTAAAGACACTATTTAAAAACAAAACAAGAGTTTATTACAATCATCTACGAAAAAATTACAAACCTAATTACTCTAAGTTCTGTTATAACAACCTATCCTGCTACTGCGCGGATGGCAGAGAGAGAGTTTACAAATATGCGTTCATACCTCTTTGCATATATCAGTGGGATATTCTTCCGTAATATCGTCCAAATGGATTCGGGGTGTGGCACAAGGTTCTATGGTGGGGTAGGCCTGCGATGGGGAAGACGATGTCCAATTTCGACGTTTCGACTCACGATCAGTGATTCCCGAGAGGGGAAGGAGGAGGGCTTTTATATCTTTTGTGGTGGGAAAATTAGTCAGGTGATCAATGGTTTTAGCAGGTGTGAGGTTAAAGGTGGTGTTAGAATGACAACAATATGATGAATTTTGCATGTAAGTGTAAACTATGCACGGATTCCTCGTGAGAATGTTTATATTAAGACATAAAATTCCCACGGCCTCTATATTTCAATTTTGTAGGTAAGGAATAAATTTATTTTATAAAATTAACTAAATTTTGACTCTCACAATAGCAAAGGTAGAGAGTAGGAAGAAGATTCCCGATGTCACTAAGCAGTATGGCTTGAACAGATGTATAGTAGGCCACAGTTCAATCTTATCAAAGAAAGATACTGTATAATCAAGAAGACTCAAGCAGCTTAAGGAGTAACAAAAATCACATCTGAGAAATAAAGAACATTGAAGAGCTCATAATGGAACCTAAAACTGATCTGACAATAGAAGAATGCCAAGAACTCTTGAATGAAGAACATCAAGAAAGTCGGCGAGATATGTTTTCTTATGAAAAAGAGGATTAATGCTGATATCTGCTATTAAAGATCTTTTGAAGAAGTAGGAGGATATCAGAACAATGGTCTTAGAATGGCATTCAAACCAGGTTGAGGTTAATAGGCTTAGGGATCTCTATAATTACAATGCTATTAATTACGTCTAAAAAATTCTGAAGGAGAGAGAAAAGCGATCGACATTAGACGGATTCTTTAACCCCCACAAACGGAAAAAAACATGACTAATAAAAATGCAAGACTGTGTATATATGTGTATAAGACTGTGTATTATATATAAATAAATGTAGTAAGAAAGTATATATTTTTTTATTTTTGATGGTCTCCAGAACAAATTAATCAAATTCCCATAAAAACCTATGGTAAATTGATAATCGGTTAATAAATAATTCGGATAGTAAACAAAGTCTTGGAACAGATTATGTTCGTTAAACAATCACCCACTGTATTATATTTTTATACAGTAAAGTCTTTTAAGTCATTCAGTTGTATTTTTTAATTTGATATACAATACAGCTTGAACCTCACACCAAATATCATATAAAAAGAAGTTTAAGCACACTGAGTGCAGCATTAATACTGCTTACAATGAATTTATGTTCATCATCCTCAGACAACCAAAAATTTAAAAATATAATACAATGTTCTAATGTAAATGGTTAATTTTCATTTGTTTTGTATTATTTTAAAAATAATTTATTCTCATATTGATCTATTTTAATAGGAAAAATAAATAAATAAAATAAAAATTAATTAATTAATTTTCAAAACAGTTTTTAATTTTGTGAATATTCAAATTAAAATTCAAATAATTCATTGGATAAATAAAAATCATTTCTACAATTAAAATCATATATTGCTTACTGAATATGGATGATGAGATTGTATATTGGAACAGCCTTTAGCTTTATTTTCCTCATTATCGATGTTAATAACACGAAAAACTCTACAAAATACATTAAAAATAATTATATTGAAAATTTTATACATATATATCAAAATAAATGATAAAATTTTTTAAAATGAACAATAACTTCAAATTGTCAAAGAGAAAAGAAAAATGCTTTTTTAATTAGCACTATTTTTGTTCTTATTGTTTTTTAAGTTTTGATAAAAGCATTTTTCTCTAAGAAATTTTTAAATGCACAATTTCCAATTTCTTTGGCACAATATAATTTTTCTTTTGAATTCAGCATCATATGTAAACTGTTTTTCCATTATTAATGAATATGAATAATAAAAAATTTAAAATTCAATTCTAAACAGCTGCTATCAAATAGTGGTTTTTTTTCAGTGGTATTGCTATCAGCAATCATAATACTATTCGCATGCGTAGAACATAAAGCAAAGACCCAATAGTTGGAAGGGGGAAATTGACAGAAATAAGAAGTTAAAATATTTGCTTTGAATTTAAGCTGCACCCTGATTTTATGCCTTAAAAACTGGAATAAAAAATGCAGCTTAAATGTGAAGTAATAAGGTAAATTTAAAATGTAAACAATTAGTAGAAATTATTGTAACTGCCTTGTGTGTTTAACATCTTTAAAAATGCAATAACATGAACTAATTTGTTTGATAGCTTTTGGAATATTCACACACATTATTTCAGGAGAACAGGATAAACTATTATAATTTGAATAACCCCCTTTTTTTATGCAACAGAACTAAGATAATATTTTTATTGTAATCTACACAATGAATATATGAAAAATTAAAAAAAAATAAAAAGAATAATAATATCATAACTGAGGTGAGCAAAAATGAAAAGGTTCCACC